ACGAGAATAAATACATAGACCGTTTATTCTCCTCTTTTTAATATGCCAATATTCGCTTAGGATTGTTTACCATTGAACCCGCCTCAAAATTCGATCTATCCACCCTGTCATTCGACCGCGAGACACCGACTTTTATTACTTATTTCGAAAACGATTGTTTTTTATCCTTTCGTCTCGCGTTTCTTTTCGTTTCTTTGAGTCGTTAAAACACTTGCTATTGTAATGGTTTCCCTCGTTTTACGAGTGTAAAATTCGCGCACGAAACGATGCACCGCCGCGGTACAGCATCCACCATGGGGGATCTGCAACCGTGCCACCACCGAGCTCGAATCGCGTACGCCGGCGAAAGTAGTGCCGCGCGCGCTTCTCCACCGAAACTCCTACGAGACACCGACCTCGCACGATCGACGACGAACTTTATCGAGAACGACCGCGCGCGCCAATTTTAATGTTTCCTGCCTATCTTTCATTGTTTTCTTTTGTTTTTCTCAAATTCCATCTACGTACGAACTAGCATTCGAATTCCCTTTTCTTTTATACTGTTTGTATTTTCGCCAGTTTTCTATTCATCGTTGTATCTTTATTTCCAAAATAACAATAAATTTTATTTCTTATAAATAATATATACGTAAAATATATTATATATACAGGTAAAATCATGTTGAGCGGTTTGACATACGTTTTCAATGTTAACCCCGATTATTCAATTGTTTTTTCTTATCTTTAATTATTCTTAATATATGTTGTTAATGTCTCCTTTTTTGTTGAAATATAATAAATACGAATGTTATGTGAATTTGTAGATGGAATAATAATCGACTGTCGGCCAACCGAATTTGATTCGAATACGGTGTTATCGTTGGAGCTAGTCGTACCGCGGTGAGACAGGCGCACGCGACAACGGAAATGACGGCATTCGTATCTCAACATGGCGGCTACTGAACAACGTAAACAGACTGGCAATCACGGGCTCTCGTATGTTGGTAAGTATTATCCGTATTTCTTAAGGTTATTCGACAACGTTAAGCTACATTTTAAACGTACGAGATTGAGAAAGAGACGAACAACGAAGAAACTAGCAGAATACGTGCATCTACGCGATTAACAGATGTAATCCGTGCCGTAACTGTTTTGACCATGGCTTTTTGACATTTTGTCATTTCAGTGGTAAGATGTTTACTCATTTCGTGCATTGCATCGTTTTTTATTATTTTTTATTTTTATACAAGTTCTTAGAAAAGAATTGAACAGTGATGAAAACGATGACGACAACGACAAACAACGTCATGGTCTTTGTTCTTTCGATTCGATCCTAGTACATTGCTACGTTTTCATCTCACTCGTCATTCCTCAAAAATCTACCTATTTTTTTTTTCGCTTCTTTCGAAAAATCTCGTATCATTCGAATTAATTGACAGATCTAAGAGGATATAGAAACCTATTAAAAGTGAACGATGGGAAAAATTGAAGGATACATTTGTAATAAATAACGTATTTGTTCTTTTTTTTTTGTTCGAGGTTATAACGTGTTTTTATAAAATACGATCTCTGCTTTTATATTATACAACTTCCTTAGTATAGAATTTCATGTTGTTCGTAATCGTTGACATAACGAGATGTAAAAATAGAGATCTCGTAGCTCGACTCGTACGTAAGAATGCGAGAAGTAAAGGAACATTGGGTTAAAGAAATAACGTATCTTATATCCATAACTAGTAAGTGGTGCCCTCGCGTAACCAACAACGTCACTATTTCATCTTCGCGAGGGAGCTTTGAACTGTTTTACTGTCGTTCAAGTTTACAAGGCCTTTTCTTCGATTACTCAGCGAATTTACTAACGTGTTGACATCTTTTACATATGTATTATATATGCATACGTGTATCGAGCTCAAAAAACATTTTTTTTTTTTTTTTTTTTTTTTTTTTTTTTTTTTTATTTTTTATTACAGCCTCCTAAACTTGGAGGCATTTCTCTTCGTTTCACTTTGTTGTTGTAAGCATTTAAATAACAAAAAAATTGTATTATGCTGCGAAACGTCACTTAAAAACATGTTTTCAATCGTTATCTTTGAAATTGTACATACATACTTGAGTGTATCGTTTTCTTCGATGCGTTTACATAAGAACTAACAATAATTTTCAGCATACATTTTCCAGACAATTTTTCCAATGAGCGAGAGAAACTTCGTAAATATCGACGATTGAATTTGGTTTTTATTTCGAAATGAACCGCCAGGATTCGAGGAAAACTGGTTATTTCGGTATTGAAGGCCATATTCAGTTGGTAATAACGTTTCTGCAAACATTGAATACTGTTGTAATTAATCATGCGAATATAGAATCTCGTTCGCGTCATATTATTCGCCGTTCAACACGATACGAGTCGGAATTTTTCAAAGGACGATTTCAAATGGTCGGTTTTAATATTTCGTTTCACTACCAGCGCACAGTCAAAAGATTAAAAAATATTCAAAGGAATTCTTTTTATTCCTGCGTCCTGAAATACATTACATATATCCAAAAGAACAAATAAAAATAAAAAGAGAGAGGAGGACAGACAAATGTTTACATAAAAATATTCAATCTTTGGAAATGAAAATACTTGTCTTTGCATTTCTATATAATTGTCAAATGAACGCATGTTGCGCGTAAGAAAAGAAAGAAACAATATCGGAAGGGCAAATTATCAAAGGTAGGTAGGTAGGTAGGTAGGTAGGTAGGTAGGTAGGTTCGCGAGAGGGGGGGGGGTTGGGGTATATAGGGTTATATAGGGTTATATAGGTTTGAAATGAAACGAAAGCCGCGGCAATGAGAAAAGGGTGGAGAAGGGCGATCGCGGTTTCAAAGCCGATGGAACACGACCGGTCGAAAGTACAACCAAACATACTACCTATATATAGATATACGTATCCGTATTTCGTATAGGAAATGAGACTCGCATATTGGCATACCTATTTTGATCGTACACGTGGCGGCGTGTGTTTTATTGAATAGTGTGTTGTCGCTAGCGTTACGCGTTGTATATCGAGTGAAAACGACTCGACTCTACTTCGTTTCTCGATAGTTTATTGTTACTCCTACTCTGTCGCATTCGTTGTATTGGCAAAGAGGAAACGAGAAGGAAAGAAAAAAAAAAAGAAAAAAGTAGAAAAGAGAAAACAATAGTCAACAATACATGTCTCTACAGCGTCACATCGAGCTACAACCGTACGACAAATTTCTCTTTTCTGTCATTGCTATACGAACAGTCGGTATTAGGAGACTAATTTCGAGTAATTGAAAAATAATACCTTTTCAAATGCAATATTATAATAGTAATCTGAAATATATATTGCTTCAATTTCAGGAAGAAGTACGTTATTAGACTCGACATCGTATGTACGAACATAGTTTTTCATCGAATTGGGGAAAGTAAGGGTTGTTTTGAATCTTTCAAATTGTGTTTATAGATTGTGCGTAAAGCTTAGTAATGTCAAAGGATTACTTACATCTTGTTCGATTGATGCATTGCAATTGATTGCTGATTGCGCATCTATTATACAATGCAACAATTTTCTAATATAATACATTTGTCTGATCGGTGTTGCAATATTGACAACACAACGATACAATTCCATTCGATTGTGGCACATTTCCTTGGTAATTAAGCTTGTACTATTGAATCAAATGAATTCGAAGCTAATCAATATAACGAGGGTAATTAGCAGTCCAGCGAGTCGATTAAAAAGGACGACTTTCGTGCGTTTGTGTATTAAAGTTGCCCTAGGCATCATCATCCTATCGATGTCATTTTCGAATTTCGAAATATCCCCTACGAATTTATGAAGACATTTTCAGCTGAAATGCACCCCAATATTTCATCCGTTCAAAGTTGTAAAGCATAGCAGCACCCAAAAGCCACATCGTAAAATAAAAAGGATGCTGCACCGTTTTGTAGACACGAGCAGCACCGTCTATGCAATCTCCTCTGTAAATTTTGCTTGCACCAATATTTTGGAGACAACAAGCAGCATATTTTTGCCATTCTCTCGTAAATCTCGCAATTCTGTTCTAACTCGGCGGTATACCGCGTTATAATCTTTCCTTTCTTTCTTTTTTCTCCTCCTTTCATCGAATCATAAAGCAAAATAGCACAATCAGCCATGAATTTGGCTTTAATGACATTTCGCTGGAACGTCCAACCGAATTAATGAACGTTTCGATAGAGTTATAATAAGCGTAGACCGAATATAGTATGCAAATAATGAATCAACATAGGATATGTGTCCTATCAAACACATTTACTTTGTATAAATATTTGCCTGAGAATTTGCGTAGACTCTCACAACTCTTCCCTAGTAGCTGATATATATATATATATATATATATATTGCGTATAATTACGAATAAGCGAAGCGAGAGAGTAGAAAAAGTGACGTCTGTTTCTAAAGCACGTTGACGGGAATAAAACATTTTCAGCGCACATCTGACGCGATCGGCTGAGTTGAATTGCATTTCCTGACTCTTTTCGTTAGAGATGAGATGAAATCTCGACTTTCTATGGAAACACTTTTTTTCAATCATACAACAGTGGAACATTTCTTTTTTTTTCTTTTTTTTTTTTGCTGGAGAACTTTAGGAACCACGATTACGTTATAATTCTTTATGGTCAAAACGGCGAATAAGTTTGTAGTTTGAAGATTAACGACTTCGAAGACGCCCGAAGGGGATATCAAAATCTTAACTTTGCTTCTTCTCTTCTCGCGGTGGTACTTCTTGGTCGTAAAAAAAAAAAAAAAGAAAGGAAATCTTACTTACTCAAATATTGTAAATACGAGGATGAAAAAGGGGTCATAAGATTACATCGTAATATGGCATCGTAATATCGCATGGTAATATCGCATCGTAATATCGCATCGTAATATCGCTTGCTTGTCACGGACTCATGATCGTTGCTCGCTGATTACAGCTGACTCTTCCAGCCTATCTAAAACGATTTAAAATTTCTATATAACCTGTTTGAAATGTCACTTTTTGTCTATGATCGGTGTCCTTTCGGATCGTTTTTCTCCTTTTCATTGCTTATAATTAGTTTGAAAGAAGCACGTAACGTACGTCACTTAGTAGTCGTATATTGTACACAAAAAATTGACACGATATAAAAGTCCATAGATCAAGACTATGTCCAAAGGTTAAGAATGACAATATGAAAATGTGTTTTTTTCCTTTTTAATCGCATCTAATTAAGCTTCATGAATATTATGTCAATATAATTTCAATTGTGAATGGAAATAAAACACTTTTTCCATTTTAGATTTTGACAAATATCGCGTTAATAATCATGTTAATAATAATAATAATAAAAAAGGAAAAGTGTTTTAAAAACGTATCATACTTACATGCGTTCAATAGTCGTTTGCTAATCGCAAATTTCGAGCACGAGCTTATAACACTGCGACCGAGAATTAACAAGATTTCTCTGCTATTTATCGACTAGGAAACGATGCCAATCTGCCAAATAATCCTACGCTTATTCTACTCTTTTTTTATTCTACTCACATTCCATATGCACTAAGCCGTTATAATAATATCCTTATTCTTTGTACAACATTTTCGATATACATCGAAATATCATAGAATATTTAGATATTGTGTTTGGATCGTCGAAAGAGTAGTTGAAAAAAAAAAAAAAAAAGCAAGTATAAAATCATCGTTTATCACGGTAGCACACTTGTATAGGAATTAGTGTAAAATCTAGTTGGATTTTCAAGTAAAACACAAGCCAGCCGGCAACTATGGGATGCTGCCAAATCCCGAAACTCGATGTTCGCGCTACTCGCAACAGCTTGGAGATACGTACGTACGGTCTTCTCCACCACTGCTCTCACTGGGATATTTCTGGTCTTTATTCGTGCGACTTCTTAGTGCGCGAACGGTACGTCTACTCTACGTGCACCGCACCTGCACCTTACCTGCACTCTACCTACCATCTACTCTCGTTGTTGTTGTTGTTGTTGTTGTTAATAGTGATTTTGTCTTCATCTTTTCGTCGTCATTTTTTCGAATGTAAACCGACAGAAATATGAGTGAAAAGAAACACATTCCGCCAAGTCGGAAACGACTCGACGATATTTCGAGATTGAAATCGAGGGAACCAAAGAGACCACCCAGAACAAAAGTCAATCAATCTCCTGTCTCTGATGTAGGATATTCCTCATCTTCGCGTCTTCCAGTTGTCGCAAAAGATAGAAAGGAACATGAGGAAGCGAACAAAACTCGAACTCGACTCAACGATGGGCAACTTATCGCGGAACTTGACTCAATTAAAGGTTTTCAACGTTTCTTCGACAGTTCTTTTTCTTTTTTTTTTTCTTTTTTTTTTTGATACATTTGATACTTGGCCATTTGTTCGGATCGACGTTTCAACAAAATTCCACTTTTTCTACTGAAAAATGTCAACTTTGTGATAAAGGGATCTTTCAAAATTGCATTTTTTTGTTGTTTTTAGGCGGAAAAATTTCGATGACGACTCTCGATGAGAACGTGAATCCTGTACCACGGGAGTTCCAGACAATGGATAAAACTGGTGAGTTTTTTGTTCATCGTGACGAATGAAAAATTGAACATTACGTAATTATGAAGAAAATTCGTTTGGAACGCGCAATCAACCTTATTTCTATCTTAATTATTATATTATTATGATATTGTTTTATTTATAAACGTATACATATGTGACTACATACATGTATATAATTACGTAAAATTCCAAGATGAATTCGTTATTACATCTTTTTGCACTACTTTTAATTTCTCTTCCTAACTACGTTATCATAGAAAATAAATAACTATATGTAATTGCATAGTTTTCGTCCTCTTACGTTCCTCTACGTTTATTCGCGCAAAAGTTTAATTACGAAATACTTACGATATGAATAAAGCAAAGCAAAGCGAAGCAAAGCAAAGCAAAGCAAAGCACGCGTGCTTTGCAAAATCTTTTTCCTACATCTCTCCGTATATTTACGGTTAAAATATCTTACGTTCGTTTGTATGCAACTTGAAAAATGCACGAGTACAAATTATATACTAACAAATTCTGACGATGAGCTTTATTTCTGTTCTCACCTCTTTCCTTTCCTCCTTCTATTGCGCCATATTTTTCTCAAATGACTTGCCACAATATTATTCATTTACGTATACATAATTATGTATATTTCCTTTTGTGTTTTTTATGCAATATAACAAATAAATTTACAATCGATTGGCAAAGGTCGATACTAGTAGGAGTTTTAAATTTGATAATAGTCACATTTACACTTCATTTAGTGTTCATATACTGCTTATAGGAGCTACGGTAATTTCTCTTTGTAAACACTTGCTGCATTGATAATAAATAAGAATAAAACTACTTTTGTAGTTTTGTCAACTTATTTTTCTAATCTTCTTGTGTTATATAGATTATTTGGGAAAAAGAGAACGCATAGAGACAGTATCTATGAACAATCAAAATGAAGATACAACAACAGATTTTGGATATCCAGTACAAGTGGTACTTGCACAGCCTGACCATACATTTGAGTTGGACGAAGAGGCCTTGTCGAAAATTCTACTTCACGATAATATAAAAGATAGAAGTGTCGTCGTCGTGTCCGTGGCAGGTGCATTCAGGAAAGGCAAAAGTTTTCTACTCGATTTTTTTCTTCGTTATATGAACGATAAGGTACTGACATATTTCATGATATTTTTCTAACAAATTGTTTATATGAATTTTCCTTCAAAATGCTCTCTCTCTTTCTCTCTCTCTCTTTCTCTTTTTGTTCCATGTTTATGCTTCTTCGTTTCGTTATTGCTTTTTCAAAATGCGCAAACATAATAGTACAGTAAGGGAAAAAGTTCGGATTCTTGGCTGGGTAAAGACGATGAACCTCTAAAAGGATTCTCGTGGAGAGGAGGTTCTGAAAGAGATACTACAGGAATATTGATGTGGTCACAAGTTTTCCCTGCTACTTTACCTACTGGAGAAAGAGTTGCTATAATACTAATGGATACGCAAGGTGCTTTTGATAGTCAGTCAACTGTCAGGGATTGTGCTACAGTCTTTGCGTTAAGTACGATGTTGTCTTCTGTACAAATTTACAATTTGTCACAGAATATCCAAGAAGACCATCTTCAACATTTACAACTTTTCACCGAATATGGTAGACTAGCTTTGGAAAAATCAGGAAGTACACCCTTTCAAAGCTTGCAATTCCTAGTAAGAGATTGGTGTTATCCGTATGAAGCTGATTATGGCGCAGAAGGAGGACAGAAAGTATTGGAAAGAAGATTAGAAATATCCAATAAGCAACATCCAGAATTACAAAGCTTAAGAAAGCACATTAAGTCTTGCTTTTCGGATATATCTTGCTTCCTTATGCCTCATCCAGGCTTAAAAATTGCTACAAATCCCAAATTTGATGGTAGACTATCAGAAATTGAATCAGAGTTCAAAGAACAATTAAAAGTTCTTATTCCAATGATACTAGCACCAGAAAATTTGGTCACCAAAAAGATTGATGGTCAAGTTGTAAAAGCCAGAGATCTGCTTGAATATTTCAAGAGTTATATCAAAATTTATAAAGGGGATGAATTACCGGAACCAAAAAGTATGCTTGTTGTAAGTATAATCAATTATTTATAACTACAAAATAGTATTCTTCAATGGACATCTTAATTTTTGTTTGTTTTTTTATTTGTTTTTTTATTTGTTTTTTTAGGCTACAGCCGAAGCGAATAATCTGTCAGCCGTAGCTGAGGCAAAAGATGTATATTTACAATCGATGGAAAATGTTTGTGGAGGAATAAAACCATTTTTGGCTACTGCTCTCTTGGATGCGGAACATCAGCGGTGCATGGACAGTGCTATACGTCACTTTCAAAATAAACGAAAAATGGGTGGAGATGAATTTAGTCAAATGTATATGGAAAAATTAATTAAGGTACTTCATTATTTTTAATAGTTCAACTTTTGATCCTGAATACTACTCACTATTACTAGTCTTTTTATTTCTCTCATTGCGCTATATGGCTATTCTAGGATATGGAAGAAGCTTATCTTCAATTTAAAGCGCACAATGAAAGTAAAAACATTTTCAAAGCTGCGAGAACTCCGGCAGTGTTCCTCGTGATAGCAGTCACTATGTATATTTTATCTGGTATATTTGGACTAGTTGGTTTATACGGTATAGCGAATACATGCAACATAATTTTGGGCATTGGATTACTTACATTCGTTTTTTGGGCATATGTAAAGTATGTTATAATTCATATTTTTTATTTTTTTTTTATTATATTTACAAATATGTTGTATTATTATCTTTTATCGAAATATGTCTAATATTGATAATAATGATTATTATAGGTACAGCGGTGAATTACACGAAATGGGTACGCGAATAGATGAACTGGCAAATGCTATATGGGAAAACGTAAGTCTTCTTCATATAATTTACTTAAATATGTATCATGTAAACGTGAAATTCTTCATTTCTATCAATAGAGATTATGTTACTAATCATAAAAATACGTATGATCATAGAAATATTATAATGTTCATTAATCATTGACTTGCAATACATTTAACAAATAAAAATAATCCATTTATTGTTATATAGAGATGACCAATACAGGGGAAAATTATTCAAATGTTTAAAGTCTATTTGAAATATTTAATATAATACAATAAGCACAAGCATATACATATGTATCGTATATACGTATATATAGAGATACGTAGACGTAACACAACACACATAACATATGTGTATTAATCATAATTTCCACACGTTATCCTCATTAATACACATCATTTTTTATTTTAACAGGCCTGGCTATGCGCTCATCTTACTTATAAAATAAGATATCTGATCCTTCCTATTATTATAACTTTGATTGCAATACCTACTTATAAATTTCTACATGCTTACCTTTCTAAACATCGCTATATCTGATCCTACGCTTCACTTCTTTTTCATATATTTATCATTTATCTTTTATTCAAATTAAGTTTACATAAATAAATTTGACCAATCATTAATTATTATTGCTTGTGCTTTAGTTTCACGTTCATATTTTATGATGAATTTTCTTTTCAAAGTATTATTCGTTGGCAACAAAAATAATGTTCTCTTAGCTTTTCTTAGCTTTTCTTAGCTTAATTTTCGTTTGTTTTCTCCTATAATATTCCTTTAAAGTGAGTGCTAACAGGATAACACTTTTGAAAGGTATGCTCTTTGAAAATTGTCTATATAAGATTTATAAATATATAATCTCCTTATATATCCTATATATATAATAATAATATATAGATATTCCTTTAATTATGATATTGCTTGTTGTCAGTTAAAAATGCATAAATATTAAATTTTGCTTATATAATCAAGCAAGGTACTAAGAGAAATGATTACTTTGTGACATATGTTTAATTTTCTACTTACTTTTTCTTTCTTTTGCTTTAGTTCATGAAAGTAATTTATCAACAAATTGTGAAGAAGTCAATTACTGTAGCAGTGGTGGCGCAGGCCGCTGAATTGGCAACAAACACGACAATGAACGCCACTAGCACTGCCAATGGCAAACCAAAAATATCATAATATGATCATTCCCTCCATTTTTGGATATTTTAGATGCATAAAAGCATGCGTCAGTAAATTAACACCAATAAGTGGCATAACCAAATTTTTCAATATACTACTTTCATGTAGTTTCCGTTTAATAATGTTGTTGTATATTTGGATTGATTAAATTGAAACGATTGAGAATGATGTACATATGTACATAATGATCTATCATTGATTCATTGCCATCAGTGTTAGATCATTGAACATTTCGGCTATTTCTATCATCTATGATTATTACTATTGTATTGTTATAGACTTAAACAGGTCTTATATTCATAAATAATAATGTCATACTCATCAATTATAATACATTGACATATTACGACTTTTTATCATTTTATTAATGATAATTAGAATATGAATTTTTGGAAATACTTGTACAGTAGTTTTCTATTGCCACAAATTTGGTGTTGTAATTAGTTCGCATTATGTTTGTGCCAGAAACTTAATAATGTACTCTACTTATTTTTTTATCGAATACAATATAAATAATACAAATTGTTATCATTAACTAATGATTCTATATAATGTTCAAGCCCCCTTGGATTCTAATGGGTCGTGAATTCATTTTTTTTTTCTTGTTAATAATGATAATATGTTATGTTAAAATCTAATTACGCGAGATTATTATGTTGATGATTATGTTAAAAATATGATATTCATGATCCAAAAAAAAAGAAAACTCTGTGGGAATAATCTTATAATATTTTTAATTGATGGTATTATTTTGTATTTTGTATGTTCAAAAACTTTAAGAGATGTGTTATCCAATCATACAAACGCAACTGAGATATATACATGCCATATTGATGTAACATGTGACGACTATGTTAACTCGACAGAATAATAATCTGCAGGGAGAGTCTATATGTTCTGTAAGATTGTATTATCTAATTTAATTATAAGATAAATATTGTTGCCAATGTGGTATTAATATTGATAAAAATTATGTATTGTATATGATAGACTTTATTTCCAAGATTGCTCGTATGAAAAGAAGCGGTAAAACGATACCTGTGATCATTTTTTTGTTTGTTAAATGTCTAATGTTATTCTGTATTATATTTAATGTTGTTTAAATTATCTTCATCTTTTCTTTCTAATTCTTCAACAAACGAATATTATTATTATTCTAAGAAAGCATTATTTTTCATTTTCGAAATATTTCTAAATTTTATGAAAAAAAAAAAAGGTATAAAGAAATAGTATTTGAAATAGTTTTCAATCCTACATAGGCAGCGGTGGCAGCACTATAACAAATATTCATTGAGTAATTGTGGATAATAAAACTCATCGTATGCATGTATCCAAATTTAGTTATCTTGCCAGATTAATGTATTTTATATTTAATTTTATATATTTGGTAGTAAACCATTTTAATTTTCAAGCGTTTTTTCGTCTTTGTTGTTGTTTAGATATAATTAAAACATGATGCATGAGTTGAACTAATTTTATTTTGTATAATTAGTATTTTTACGACAGCTATAGCATAAAATTTGATAATATATATTAACAAGAGAAGTAATTACAATAGAAAACAGTAATTTACGTAAAATTATAAAAGTCATGATGTTTGACAAACAAGAAGGACTATTGTAATGGTTTTGGCAACATTCATCATTTTTCTTATTGTTGTTATGTTCTTTATTACATATACATGTACGTGTGACGTACAATGAATTATAAAAGTAATTCAATAGAAAAGTATAAACAAAAAAAATTTAGTCATTTCCACTTGGGCAAACAATAACATTGAAATTTGCATTGAATAATAATTCGTATAACTTTGTTTATATAATATATGTTGCTTTATGTATTGTGTCTTCTTTCTTTGAAGAAAAGAAAAAAACCAAAACAACCCTAATATAATCCTCTGTAAATATTTCATCTGGAAAAAAAAAAAGATGCAAATATGAATAGACACGAATTGTCTATTATTTAGCGTTGATTAATGTTATCAAATTTAGATTATATTGTAATAGTAGTTGAAATATTTCAACTGAACATAACTATTGATTGATAATGATTAAACAGTAAAGTTATTTTTTTGGTGGGTCATTGTAAAAGGTGCCATTGAAGTTGCCCGTACCATATACATGGTGATGATTTGCAATAACATTTATTTGAAAAGAAAACATTGCTTAAAGTTCTTCTTATGTACATAATTTTAATGTAAAATATTATCATTCATAATGGAGAAATCCAATATTAATGTATAAATCATATGGATTAAGTTGAATTTGCATATTAATTTTGACGTTATTTCTGTTTATGCCATTTGATATATGATCATCGTCAACGTTGTAAGCTTACAATTAATATATTTGCAATAGCATTTTTACAGTATAAGAAAATAACTAATTCGAACTGTTTCAATTTACAATAAATTATTTCATTTATTATACGTTCTTCAATTGCGTCTATTGTATGTATCATTTTCATATTATGTTTGAATAGAGTTTTTGAAATAATTTTCACTTATTAAACGCTTTCTAATTACTTACTAACAATAAAATATTTTCAAAACAATAGAAAGAATCCACATTATAAAATTATATTAAATTAAACATTCAATTTTATTGATCATTTAAATCGTTTTGTATCAATACTGTATTAATACAACATGAAATAATAAATTTCAACTGTATCCATGTATATAAAATTGAACTATTGAGTAACAAATGTAGGTAGAGAATTGTTCGAAGCAATATAAATAATACAAATGCGTCTGCAAATATGGTGTAAAATTGTCATGGGCAAAATAAATACGTATTTTTCTATTTATAAAATAATTATATTTATTTAGTATATTATTTGTAAACAATTGTAATTCCATCATTGAAATAATAGCCGACGCAGCACGCTCAAGTTCTAAACATTCTCTTGACCATATCTTTACACTTTTGATTTGCTTCTTGTAGTTTTTCATTATAAATCAGAAATTGTTCCTTTGCAGCAGCATTATGAGGCTCTAATGTAATAACTTTTTTCAAATCTGATACAGCATTTTCAATGTTTGTTAATTTACCGTAAGCTACGCCACGTCTATAAAACGCTTTAACGTTATTTTTATCTTTATCTAAAATTTTGTTACATAATTCAATGACATATTCATAATTGTGGTTAAGTATTTGACATCCAGCTAAATTGTTGTATAAAGTTATCCTCAATGCATTAATATTATTTTCTAATGATTTATCCAATTCTAAATCAGCTATTGGTTCTAGAGTTATTAAAATTTTGCAAGCTTGGCTAAATTTATAAAATGCATCTATGTGTCTTGTTTGTTTAAATAATTTTACACCAATTTCTTTATATTTCAAAGCGATCTCATATTTTTCTTCTGGAGTCCAATTCCAAATTGCTTTAAATGCTTTGAAATACTTCAGCATTAAAGTAAAGGTAACAATAATTGATTCTTTTGTAGACAAATCAGATATACATATGGTAAACAAACTTTTTTCTTCTACCATCATATACTGTATTCCCCTTTCAATTTTTCTATCAATTTCAGAGTTTGCATCTCCTATCGTTATTGTCTTTTCTATATCATCGAGAATTTCTGTATGAAGTTGATTTTTTAAATCAGTAATATTCATTCCACTGACATTTATATCTTCTATGACAATTTGGCATTCACAACGTTCTGTTGGTTTCTTTAAACAAATGCCTTTTTTAAGTATTTCTTTTCTAACAGTTTTATCCCTAGATTCCCATATATTATCCATTTTGATTAATATGTTTTATTTTCACAAGAAAAACAGAGAGAGAATAGATAACTGAAAAATATTTGTCTCATTATTAGACACAAATTAAATTAAACATTATGTATTTATAATGTCACGAGTTATATATATATAAATATATACATATACTTGTATATACTCAACATACAGAAAACATATGCAATATACGATAATAACTAATATTGATTTGTATTGATTCAACTCTTTCAATTCCTTCAATGTTAGCTTTAAAGACAATGAATATGTTAAAGTACACACAAAATACGATTGCTTCAAAACGAAATATATGAAAAATGAAACAAATGCAAACAATTTAATTCATGTTAAACCATTGAGGTTTTCATTTTTAACAAATACTGATCACACTGTAATATAATAGTTTTTCTAATGATTCTTTAGAAAAATATCATTATAAAAAAAGGTTAACTTTGCAAGAAAGGAAAAATATAGTTGTCCTTATTGACGATATGATCGACGCCCTCTAGCGATTTAAATTTTGGCGCCATTTATGACACAAGACTTATATAAAGAAGAACAGCAGGAAAAACTAATTGTAAGTCATTTATAAAGCTTGAAACGAAAAATGAACAATTGTTTAAGTATTACAAAATTAAAGTGTTGATATATAACAAATTTCAGCTTAATCATAATACAATTTTTGTTTTTCAAATTTATATAATTACAAGAAAAAGAAACATTTAATATTAATATTTATTTAAAGGCTAAATCATTTTCATAAGAATACAATTGTTTTATTTGCTAATATTACATCAAATAGTTTATTGACGATACATATTTACTTTGTAAACTTTAAATTACTATGGATTAAGTTACTTTCATATTCAATTATCATAATGGCTATGTTTACGTGAGGTATACAAGGTATATCATATATATATATCTGTAGCAAAAGAAGTATAAGAAAATATAATTTATATAATTTTGTAGTTATTGGAACCAGCCAAAAGTATTCATATTCTAACAATAATACTACTTGAGTATCACATTTAGCTTTTTTGCTTCATGTATTTCAGATTAATTGTAATAGATAATAAATACCTGAGCCATTCATTTGTCAAATCAATTAACTCTACAGAACAAAAAGTCGTTTCATTTATTATTTAACAATCATCAAAATTGTTCTCATTAAAGTGATTTTAAATCAAATTATTGAAGAAATGTAATTTACATAGAAAAAGTTCAATTGAGAAGAACGTTGACAATATGTTACATTAGAATTTAATTGATAAAACTGGAGTTAATTGTTTCTGTGAACAACTCGTCCGTAGAAATTTTTAGTACGATATATTATCAACTAACTAATGTTACAAGTAAATATTCTACATAAATAATTTTCATCATTCTTTTTTCCCTTTATGTAAAACATGTTCATTGACCATATGATAAAGCATTCCAGCAGTTATACAACCAATTACTGAACCTTGTGCCAGAACTCGAAATTGTAAGAGGTAGAGAGATACTGGCATATTTCCTCGATGTTTGAATTTATAAGCACCTATTGCACAAGCTGCTAATAAAGTTGCAAAACCTACAACAAAAGAATATAAGTCATTAGACATATATATTGTCGATAAAAAAAATAGTTATCTATTACTTAATAAGATTATTCGTACCAGCTATCAAAAAAGGATTTTTTTGTGCGTGCCGAGTCATTCTATTACTTAGGCTATCTTCGTATGATACCAATTCTTCTTTTGGATCCATTTTTATTATATAAATTAGTCCCAACTCTATAAAAAAAAAAAAAAGAGATCAAATAATCTATTAGGTGTTTACTCAATTAACTGTTAATCTTACAAAATATGTTAAAACAATGACAATGTATAATACCAAACGATATATTATCTATCTCAATTGTCATCAATTAAATCTATATATTTTCTATGTTATTTAATTATGAAGAGTCAAGGCTAACTCTTGGCTAATTGTAAGTAACAAGAGGTACTATCACATCTCTCCTAATGGTTTTTTAATATCAACATTCTAAGAAAAAAGGAAATAATAATAGTATTCAAGAAGATTAGATAGTCGAAACGTTGATAATACGAATAAGTTATTCCAAAGTATCATATTATTTCAATAAACATTAAAAATTACAATATTTTCAGTTACTACAATCAAACTGATGTTGGAGCGCCACAGGCTTGCTAACGGCCCTACGTAAAGCTATAATACACTAATAAATCTCGTTTTATATCTATAGATATTACGCCATAATTATACGTATCTTACAAATCTTACTAAAAGAAAATATATCATTTGGAATACATATAATAATAGATGCAGAAATTTAAACATAGACAGAAATTTACAAGATAATATTTCCATTCATTATTTAATCTCACACACATTGAATGTTTTTTTAAATATATAACAAGAAGAAGAGATTACCAAATTGTTATTGATCTTGAATTAATGGGTATGTGTGCGCACGCAAAGTTCAGGATCACGAGGAGAATGGACATACCAATGAATCTATAAATGTCTATATACATATATATATAGATAGATAGATAGATAGATATCATATGTCCATTCTCTGTAATGAATTATATAAAGAAATAACATTAAACAAAAATATTATTCAAGTTAATAAATGTATTTCTTTAACGTATTAATTAAAAAGCTACCTAATGTAATTTAACCTATTCTTGCATCACGATATAATATGTTTCATTGAGTTGTTAATCATTTGATCTGTTCATATTTTTTAACAAATAAGATAATAAGATTCAAAGATTAATTATTTAACCAAATGACATATGAAAAATATTCCTTCTTACCTTAAGTGTATCAGGGAACGAATATATAAAATCCAGTTGACTAAAGAATCTTCACTTAAATATTCAATTATATGAATAAAATAACAAGAAATGTTACTTCAACAAAACCAATCGTTACACTTTCAAATCCAAATAAATCTATATTTTAAGTTTTATTTCTTCTTAGATGAATGTATAAGCAGTGATTTTTGTACTAGTACTATTTGACAGTATTACTACTACTGTTGCTCAAGGTGCTGCTGTTACTTCGTCGTAGAGTTGAGTAGAAGTAAAGAAAACGGCGGGAACTTTATGCGATTTATATATTTCCTCCTCTGTTTGTAAGTTAATGTAATACGTGTGATCTTTTGATCAATCAAAAAAGATTTCTATTGGTTTTACTATGTACGAAGATAATCTATTTACATCAATTTTCATGAACGTCCCAAAAATATAATCCTCTATAGTTTAGTTATTTATTTTTTTTTTTTTAAATATTTCAAATTAATATAAATTGTGTCACTGTAATTAAGGCGCAGGGTCAGCGTACGTGCTTTTCATCGGGTACACATCTTTTACTTTCCAAAATCTTCAGTAGTAAGAACGTGCCAGACGAAACGTACAAGATATTTTTATAAATATCTAAGGAATTGAGATGTGTTTCTTGTTATTATATTATATTTATTTTTATACTTTGATCATCACCTTTAACAATTTTAATGAAAATATGATGTGTACATTTACATACATTTATTTATTTCCTTAGATACACTATATAAATTGAACAAAAATAAGTCATTTTTATTGGACATTCTAGATTTGCAAATTATAACATTTTATTTATTAAACATTATCAATTAGATAATAATGTCTTCTTGGAAGATAATCTTGAATAAATGATGTTATTATGTAATTTTCTCAGTCCGTTCTACGTATTCTTAGAGAAAGATTATAAAATCAGGTAAATAATTGTAACTTTTGTACATTTAAATTTATTGTTGAATAGAATTTGTAAAATGACGAAAAGAAAGAGAGAAAATACATGATTTACGTTGTATATACATAGATCATGTGATATACGAGTCCATGCATTTCATATGAGCATGTATTAAAGTTGAAATTTATTCTAGGAACCAAACAAACCTTTTGGACAATAATTATGCAAGCTAATAGTTCGTTAAAAAGGTATTGTAAGAACAACCTAAAGTTGCATAAAGTATAAAATGTATAGAAAGAAAATACATAGCAAGAAAGAACTCAAACATATTTGCGAGGTTGCCATTGTATTAGAAAGGAAGGTAATTTGGTGAAATGGCAACGTTTTGAGTTGCGCATGCGCATTTTATATGACTGTCATACTCCAAACGCGTTCCTGTTTCACGATAAGTAGTAGTGGGGAGAAGAGGATTTAGTAACAACCAGTGGAACAATAAAGACAGTATCTACAGGAATGTCAGTAATAAGAAGACATAAATGAAAGTAGTTGATCGTCTATCAAATATCCTTGTCATGAGTAGTTCTATAGTTTTGTCAACTAAATTATAATATAATGGAAGCTAGATTTACGTGATTTACTACTTCAACGGCAGATTTAATTCTTCTTGGAGTAATAATTAGCTACGGGACATCAATTATCACAGCATTATTATAACTTTCGAACTTGGGTAAAATATTAATTGATTTTCAGTACACTTTTACACTTGTACTCTTTTTCAACTCGATACGGTGTTAACGCAGTCTCAATATTCCAGTGGAAAATGTTTTTACGTCATCAAGTTGAAAAAGGATCACACCTTCTGCATAGCAATCATTTTTATCGTTATCTCAAATCTATCATTGACATTAATTGCTTAAAGATTTTCGAGATAGATAACATTCCTAAAAGAGTATACTTTTATGCAATATCCGATAGAATTGTAGATAAAAAATAATTGTTTGTTCTTATCGAAAGAATCAATTGTGTATTATAAATTGAACATTTGTTTGTAAAGAATAATCTACGGTGAAAATTAATTTTGATAAATTAGATAATGAAGTACACAATTATTTTCATTAATAGAATGTTTGTATTTTGTTTAATGTAATATTTAATGTCGAAGTTAATACTATAAGAATATCATAGATAGATAAAGATTTAATATTAACAATATTTAATAGGAAGACGGCGATAAGATAGCAAAGGAAATTAGTAAAAGAAGATGACGATAAAAAAAATCTGTGGAATAGGCGCCGGATACGTTGGTGGGCCAACGTGCAGCGTGATTGCGTTGAAATGTCCTGAAATACGAGTAACCGTTGTCGACAAGAGCAAAGAACGAATAACACAATGGAATTCTGATAAATTGCCAATTTATGAACCAGGATTGGACGATGTTGTACGTAAATGTCGCGGTAAAAATTTATTTTTTTCCACTGATATCGAAACCGCTATTATGGAAGCCGATTTAATCTTTATTTCGGTGAATACACCAACCAAAATGTTTGGCAATGGAAAAGGAAGAGCAGCAGATTTGAAATACGTCGAGAGTGCCGCTAGAATGATTGCGGAGATTGCGACTAGTGATAAAATAGTTGTTGAAAAAAGTACGGTTCCTGTACGAGCAGCCGAAAGTATTATGAATATTCTTCGCGCTAATCACAAGCCAGGCGTTTCATATCAGGTAATGTAAATAAGTATTTTATTCTATCATTATTTTTTTTTTTATCTTTTTTCTTGTTTACTTTATTTTAGATTTTATCGAATCCAGAATTCTTAGCAGAAGGAACTGCTATCGAAGATTTGGTAAATGCCGATCGTGTATTAATTGGCGGTGAAGATTCACCCGAAGGACAAGCAGCTATAGAGGAATTGTGTCAAGTCTATGAGCATTGGATACCAAGAGAAAATATTTTAACTACTAATACTTGGAGCTCGGAATTATCAAAGCTGGTACGTATGTATGTTAATGTTAAAAGAAAAGAGTTATTACGTCTTTCTCATGTAATACGATATCAAGTTTCTATTGTGAATAGAACTAAGTACATGAGAGATTTATTTTTTCGTTGAAATAATATTTACGATTTTAGGCAGCCAATGCTTTTTTGGCACAACGTATATCGAGTATAAATTCTCTGTCAGCTGTATGTGAAGCTACGGGTGCCGACGTGTCAGAGGTAGCACGAGCTGTTGGTCTTGATTCTAGGATAGGCTCCAAATTTCTTCATGCATCGGTCGGCTTTGGTGGATCGTGTTTTCAAAAGGATATTCTAAATTTAGTATATATTTGTGAATGTCTCAATTTGCCAGAAGTTGCAGCTTATTGGCAACAAGTAATAGATATGAACGAGTACCAAAAGTCACGATTTTCTGCTAAAGTAATCGAGTCGTTATTTAACACTGTCACGGATAAACGGATCACCATGTTAGGTTTTGCATTCAAAAAAAATACCGGTGATACTCGTGAGTCACCTGCTATTCACGTTGCTAAGACTCTACTCGATGAAGGTGCTGTTTTACATATCTACGATCCCAAGGTTACTTTCTCTTTTATATATATGTTACTTTACAAAGGGTGAATTTAAAAAAAAACTTCTTATTTAATTTTGTAGGTAGAAGAAATGCAGATTATAGAGGATTTAACGCATCCAAGTGTAACGGCTAATCCGAAGCGAGTTAAAGATCGTATTAGTATTTACAAGGACGCTTATACAGCTACCAAGGATACTCACGCTATCGTTTTGTGCACGGAATGGGACGAATTTATGGTGAGTACGATATTTCTAATAATATTTTAATAATTGTAGTGTATACAAATCAATAGAATTTAATGATAGAAACAATATTTGACAGGAACTTGATTACAAAAGAATTTATGCAAGCATGATGAAGCCAGCATATATTTTTGATGGAAGAAAAATCTTGGATCACGACACGTTGCAGGGAATAGGATTTATTGTGCAAACAATCGGCAAAAGACTCACGAGAACTGCGATTTCAAGAGTGTGGGGAAGTCAAACACAAATGTAAAGTAAATAGAAAATGCTCGTACGTATGAATTGAGGACAAAGCGAAAAGAAGTCTAAAAAAAAAGAATTGAAAAGCGATTGAATGATTACGACGTATCGGCCGTGGCATGTGCTAAAGCGGAAAAAGTGATCAAACTTTTTATCTGGCTGAATCGTATCAGTTCATTTGGAAATTGGCATATCATGTTAAATAATTTTACCGGAGTCAAAAATATTTGCCAGAAAAATGCGTAACTAGTAGTACGAATATAATGCTGCAAAAATATTTATAAGAATATTTAAACAATTTCACGGCACTGAACTTTATATATATATATATATATATATGTCATCGAACCGCGAGGATAAAATATTTTACAAAACGTTCCACTGCTGTATTTAAACGTTATCTTATCGTTACTAAGAATATCATTTTTAAATGACAGTGTACATTTAAAACAAACCTTTAGTATTATGTCTGATCTAAAGAGACATTCCGAGGAGAAAATTGTAAACTTAAAAGTGTGAACATCGAACGATGTTGTTAACGCTGTATTATTGTGTGCATTTGTTTTTATAACGAAAATCGCAAACATTTATTTCGTTAAAATATAATGTATTCGATGCATTTGCTACATGTTATTAAAGATTTGAAATGAAGTATTCAATCAAGAGGGTTGAATAGAATATCGTTAGATAATATGGAGCGAAAGTACAATCATCGTCTCTTACGTTCCTATATTGCATATGGATCGGAAATGTTCTTTCGTCGTGGCGTCTATATGATTATCTATTTAAATATCAAGGTTTTATCGATATTTAGTATTTTAATATATTATAGTTATTGAATTCCATTTATCTTTGCGTCCTACATAACTATTCGTGATAAGGATTATTCGTTTGATTTTACATCTCTATATCTACTTTTTAATTAAGATAACAATTTGTATACACTTTTTACAACGGTGTAAAACATCGATAGCAATAAAATATACTATTATTGTTACATACGAAACATTTACCTTAGGTTTAAAAACCTATATATTTAAAAGGATTCGCACTCTATTTACCAATGTAGTATCACTGATTGCCACCAGATGCCCTATAAGTAATGATAGAGTGCGTTATGGTAGCAGATAAGCAAGCAGTACCATCGACATTAGCAAATCGCGAGTCGTAGTAGGGTGATTATTGTAGCGAATCGTGATAGTAGTGGCTGGTTAAGAATTGCATATGACGGCGTGACACAACGACGACGACGACGACGACGACGACGACGACGACGACGACGGCGGCGACGGCGACGGCGACGGCGACGACGACNCGACGACGGCGGCGACGGCGACGGCGACGGCGACGACGACGACAACAACAACAACAGTGAAATAAGAATCTTTTGTACAAGCGACATTTTCTATGTGGATAAATTCGATAGAAACGAAGAGTGTTTGTCAATGGTTATTAAATGTGTAGTAGTATCGTGGACAAGTAAGTAGCGCCAAAGGTGGTGAAGAGGTGAGGAGGAGCGTACATAGTAGCGTACATAGTAGCGTAACGCATGAGGGTAAAAGAGACAGAGAGAAAACGGGTTGCGATGTGATGATCGAACTCGACTTTGATCAAAAAGAACCGAGGAAAAGAGCGACGATAAGTCGGGTTTTTAGCTAAGAAGCAGCAGCAGCAGCAGCAGCACACGGTTGGTTGTAAAATGGCGGCGGGACCGGCTGTGTGGCGACTGGTAAGGATTTGGTCGCTGAACGTTGACGACGTCGTTTAATCTAACTAGGTCGAAAATAGAGTGATCGAGAAGGATTGTCATGATAGAAGATTAGATCCGTTAGGGATAGAAGAAGTGGAACGGAAGGAGAAGGAGCGTACGTAGGCTTGCATGATTTTCGGAGCAATTCTGTCTTCAAACTGATGAAAGATGCCGCATCCGTGCCGGTAGTGAATAATTGGTGGTGGTGGCGTAAGCCGCATGCGAAAATCGCAATGTGATCCGTTTGCGTTGCGAGACCAAACGAAAAATAGATAATTGTTTTGAAGATAATATTTGAAGAAAATAGACATTTTGGTGTGGTTTTGATTTTCAGTACAAGTCGTGGATTTACTGTACATTATCTCAACGCTATTGGGGAAGAACAGCAGAAAGAGAAGTAGAAGGAGAAGGAGGAGAAGGAGGAGAAGGAGTTGAGGAAGAGTTGTGGAAGAGTGGAGGAGAAGGGGGAGGCAAAAGTAGGAACGTTCGACAATAGAAAGATGACAAGGTCGTCGCGTTTTTCGTTTTCATTTTTGACGTCGATGTCGAGCCGTGGTTGTTATTGCTGCTGCTGCTGTAACTGCTGCTGTTGCCGCTGCTGTCGTCGTCGCCGACGGTGTAGTTTAACAGGAATCGCGAATGTGATTGTAAGAAAATCTACGGAAAGCATTGCCATTAAACAACTCGGTGCTCGTTACGATTGAGGATTTCACTTCTCTTTTCACCGTTGGAGGTGGAGAAAAAGGAAGAGGAGAAAGAGGACGAAAACACGGTGGAGGGGAACGAGGAGGAAGAAGAAAATGAGAGGCGCGCGCGGAAGCTACTCCGCGAGTGTTCTCGCACTGGCGGTTTTTTTTTTACTTTACGTGTCATATTCGGTGGACGGTTAGTATGACTCTTATTATGTTTATCATTATGTATAAATTTCTATATTCTAACGTACTCTATATAGTCTACATGTGCGCACGTACGCACGCACGCATGCACGCACGCACGTACGCACGTACGCACGCATACGTACAATACCTATCACATACGCGTAATATTACGTATATATTTACGTATGTCAACCGAAGCAGCAGCAGCAGCAGCAGCAGAGGAGACAAAGAGGGAAAACGCAGAACCGTGCGCGTTCGACCGCACGCGCCTGCCTTCCCGCTCTTTTCCCTCTACGGTCTATGTAAAGTGCGTAACGTTGCATAAGCAACGACGAGTCGGTTAGCCCGAGAATAGTCGATTCAATTTCTTCTCTTCGGAGATTCTGCGTCTGTAGAGAACTACTTATATACAGGTTATGTATATGTAATTCCCCCCTCGTCTCCTCGTCCCCCCCTCTTTACACACGTACTACATACGTACGTACATTATTTCTACATTTATATGCACTTGAAAAAATGAAGTGGACGACTACTCGTGTAATATCGCTAGATACGTTTTGCTGGACCTTTTCTTTTTGCATTTCACTCTTCTTTTTTTATTAATCATTCCTTATAATTAATGGCAACGATTAGCATAATAATCGAGTAAGATAATTTACGATGTTTATACAAGCGATTAAAATTCATGTTTAATTTTTTTGTCCTTTCTGATAAATAATATAATGTAGTATTTGTTTTGTCGAGACAAGAAACGTGGATAGCTCGTGACAGTTTTGACGGATAATCGTCGATAGAGTCGATACGCAATCTTTTCACAAAATAATATATCAATCGATTTAACGTGATATTCAATGAGAGAGAGAGAGAGAGAGAGAGAGAGAGAGAGAGAGAGGGGGAAAAACATGTGTCGTATTTTCGTCAATATCAAATCTTTTACGGAGAATCCACTGGTATATATCGAGTCCAGGTATACTGCTTATAAAACGCACGTGCACATCTCTCTTTCTCTCGAATTAAACTCGTTTCCTCTGGTCTAGTTTACGTAGCAAAACTGCGACATAACAGTTTCACTTTATCTCTTAAAAGATTTACCGAATTAGACGAATTTTGATCTTTCCTTATCTCCGTTGTACATTTTTTGCTGAGGATACGAAGAAAAAACTACGTATCGTGTTTTAATCTTTCTTTTTCTCAGAAAGTAGTTTCTTTTCTACGAATACTAAATTAGAATAGTTAGCTTATAATATAAAGCAACGATCTATACGACGATGCACTTAGAAAACAAGCATTGATCCATTGGATTATATTTGATTAGCTTTATTTTCTGTTTGAAACTAACAATCAATATTATAATAGAACGTAAGCAATAATCTTGTAAAAAGATTTATTCAACGTGAACTGATCAGGCTTCTTTCTTATAAGTCAATGATGCATCGAGGTATATATCGTTGATTATTATTTAGATGGATCTCCAAGAAAATGTCTAAAATAACAACAACAATATACAATATCATGATGTTTTTTTTGATTTCAGGATTAAAATGTTACTGCGATATTTGCACGGATAACAACCACACGTGTGAAACCGATGGCTATTGTTTTGCCAGTACGAGCCTGGAGAATGACGTCATCACGTATGCAAGGAGGTAACGAATATGCATATGGATTTTTTCTTCATTCTCCTTTTTCTTTTTTTCTTTTTCCACACATCGATACAGATGTCAATGATACGTTGAACTTCAGAGTCATAGAAATCAATAAATGCTTATCGATCGTCGATACGACGAGGGGCACCATGCACCATACCTATACTCGTCATGAAGTTTTTCTAATTTTCCTCGCGATCATTATTGCATTTCAATATTTTCGTAAAAACAATGATTATTTTAGGTGTCTTAATTTCAATAATATGAGCCATACGTCCGGTATTATTTATATATAATAAAAGCGTTGCTTTCTTTACGATCGATTATTCCCCTTTCTAGAAACGTTTGAAGTTCTTTTTCGGGCTAGTCGCCAAGGCACGATTAGCGACTATGTTTTCGGTCTTTTTAGTCGATGGATACGAATTATTGTTGTTGTTCGTCGTCGCCGTCGCCGTCGCCGCCGCCGCCGCCGCCGCTTGTCGCGATGGTAACGTCCCGCGTCGAATTTTCATCGACTTTTATCCCCAACCATCGTGATTTTAAGATATTTTAAATACTCCATTTTATTTTCATTTTTTTTTCTGTTTTTTTTTTCTTTTTGCATGTTGGGGGTAGCCATGAGTGATGATATTATCTTCTTTTCAATCTACTTGATCTATCTTCCAGAATCGTTTTCGAATCATAACAATAATGATATTCATTGAAAGGTTCACGAGTTTAATTTGGTTAGAAAGGAACGCGAGGAGGATAAGAAAAAGAAGAAGAAGAAGAAGAAGAAGAAGCAAGGGAAAATCGTGAAAAAAGAGGGAGGCAAAAGGAAAGAAAATAAAAACGAACTCTGCTAGCATCGATTGTACAAATGAAAATGAGTCTCTTTTCTCTTGTAATCGTTGCCCTCCTCGTATTGATATAATAATTGATAGAAAGTCTGGGAAATGAGATATTTAGATTAGTCAACGAGTTGATCGGAAATGTATTTAGGGTTGCTTTATAGTTTGGAGATGATATTATCGTGGAATCGTTTATCGATCCACTTGAATCGCAAACGCAGCGCGGCGCGGCGCAGCGTAGCGTAGCGCAGCGCAGCGCAGAGCAGAGCAGAAGCAGAGCAGACATAGGACGACACGTCGATGAGAGCTTTCTAAACGTCAAGCAAACTCGTAGTAACGTCACTACGAACCAGCAGACGCATGGTGGACACTGGCTAAATATTTAATGCGCCAGACGGGGATAACTTGGTCTGCCGATCAAATCGAAAATAAAGCGACCGAGATTATTTCATTGCGAAGAAGACACAAGAGCGAGAGTCGATTTCGCGTTGATCTAATATCACCGCTGTCGCCATAGTCTCGCGTGAAATAATTCATTGAAAGATATCACATGCTATATGCATCTATATGATCACACACAGATTGGCTCTTATTTGTCAACCTCAAGGACCGCAATCCTTCATAAAAATGACCAAAATAGTGTGTATAATTGTTGATATATTAAACGTAAGATTGTAATGTTGTAAAAGGTGCCTTGATCGATGGCATTGGTTCCCCCCCGAAGATCCACTTTTCTGCAATGGTAAGCCCGGCATCTATCGTTCTCGAAGCTGCTGCGATAAAGATTTCTGCAACAGAAATTTACATCCGGATTTACTGTCCTCCGCTTCTCCAGAATTACGGCCAGGTATTGAATTTCTCGCGGTTTAACCAAACGATGCAGTTTGACGTGTGACGAGTTGCCTTTCTTCATTTTTGTCCTTCTTCTTTTTTTCTTTGCTGTGCCGATAATTCCATATATTTATATATTACACTATTACGTAGATATTTACGACGAGCGATCTCCTTGTAAATATGTATGTATAGACGGAAACCCTATGGAATTAACGGTGCAAAAGGCGTTAATAACAACGGCAAGAATTTTTTCAGCGTGTAGAGGTGCGTGCATTCCTTACAGTTATTCTACTTGTCGATTCACGGAAACGTCGTTATTGCGTTAAAAAAAAAGTTCTAACAGGATGCTTCTTTGACGCTGTTTACTTTTCCGTCTTTTTTTAGCGCCAAATTGAAAAATAAACAAAACGCTCTCATCGCGTGTTAATCGTGACCAACGAAGTTAGATGTTTTTTTTTTTTTTTATAGTGCCAAGGTATTTCAATAATAATGTAACATTTTAATTAACGGGAATTATCAAATTTTCCGTGTTCGTAAGAGAATGCTCTTATTTTTTTTTTTTTTTTGCTACTTAAAACATTGCAATACTTACTATCGTATTTATCATTTTTCTTCTTTTCAAAGAGAAAGAGACGAAGAATCTTTGACTAACCGATCCTTCTTGTGTTCTTAGTTGCACTGTGATATTATCGTGTGCTCTTACAAATTTCGCTCTCTGAAAGCTTTTTCGAGCGTGTTCGTTTTTTTTTTCGCCTTTTCCTTCCTTCTTCTTTTTCCTCCTTTACGAGATAAATCATCGCGTGATTCGATGACGATCATCCAAGCCAATTAACGTAACACCACCACACACCTTACATTTGACATTTCTTTTTGGTTTGTGTTCATTGTTTTATCTATTTTTTCTTTTTCGTTTTTTGCCTTGCCCGTGACAAAAATTGCGTGTTGCGAAAATAACCAAAACAAAAAAAAAACAAAACAAAACAAAACAAAAACAAAGAAAAACAAAGTTTCAGGAAAGTTCAGCCATCCACGTGAACCCGGCTACCCCCTACAGTAACGTATTTTATATATACGAAAGGAGTGTTGAGTTGCACGGTATTTTTCTTCGATCTTTCTTTCCTTTCTCTTCTTCGATTGCTCTTCTTTACTTTCATTTCTTTCTTATTTTTATTTTCTATTATATTTTTTGATTTATAATACAATCCAACAACAACCAACAACCCCATTTTGTTATAATGCTTATATTATGAAGCAAAAACTCGTCTTCGAAAGTGTTCGATATAATAGAGTTCTCTTGTTTATCGATCCTTTCGGTTGCGAATTCATTTGTAAAAGAAAATCAATTGAACGTTCTCGTCGGTAAAAATCAAAAGAAAAATTAGAAATGTTTTTCAACTGTCGCGTGTAATATCGAATTTATCGATTGTCAATGTAGCTTCGTTTGTAACGAGAACGAGAACGAGAACAAGAAGTAGAAGAGAAAAAGTGTGTTCTCCCTTGTTTTTCTGGTTGGTCCGTTTTTGTCTGAAACTTTTGCAAAATCGGCTTGAAGGTGCGTGAACAAACAGCTGTCGTCGTCGCAGCCCGAACCGCTCATCTTCTGCATGACGAGCGACTCGCGAAATACGACCTTTGTCATCGAGTGCTGCAAAGAGGATTTTTGCAATCGGGATCTGAAACCTCAGCTGCACCCTCGCACCAAAGAAGGTAGGATGATAAACCGTGAGAGCTCCGGACATGACGGAAATTCCTCAGGTGGCACGGGCTTTTATACCTTTTTTCTCTCCTATTTTTTTCACCTATTTTCTCTCTCTCTCTCTCTCTGTCAGCCTCGCTAATTCGTGCTATTCTAATGCTAATCAATAGTATTGTACATAGTATATTATATTATACTTGTATGCGAACTTCTTCTTACCGTATCAAAGGTTCACGTGCTTTTCTTAGATCCTCCTATTAGTCGATGCCCGCCCACTGTTCTTTTGCCTCCTCTGTTCTTTTGCTCAGCTATTTACGAGCGATAATTACTTTTTTGTCCAATTCTCGATTGAATCTGTAAATATTACGTAATATATACGTTTAGCATACGTTAAACTGTGACGTTCTGTGCCGTGGCTTGCAACTGTGTGTTGCGATCAATCGCGATTTTCCTTTAATGTTTATTTTACAAATGTATTTTGATTCGAAGTTACAATTAAAAGTTCGGGTTTGAATAATAATCGATAGGTCCCCTATGAGTTTTATATCCCTTCTTTTTCTTTTTTTAACATTTTCAACGCGGATAAGAAGACCTTGCCACCTATGGAAGTTCCGGTTGCTTCGAGGTAACTACTATTTCCTGCCTTATTTTGCTGCTCTTGTATCAAAACTTAAAGCCATATATAGCATATTTGCTAAAGTACATTTATGTATATATACACTATACGTACATTTATTGTACGTAAGCATATATATATATATATATATGTATATAATCGTAATTAAAAATCGTAGCATGCTATTTTATTTGATTACTTTAATCTTTCTCTTCTTTTTGCACTATTATTATCAAAGATAAATCTTTGTTGCACTGCTATAGAAATTTCTGTTGTAAGTGCGACAAGAAAGAAGAAGAATATCGCAACTATTTTGTACATACACCTCTCTTCTTTTCTAGTTCTACTTTTTGTCTTTTGGGCAACTCCATCTTTTTCTTCTCTATTCTTTTCATTTCTTAAAGTCTATTAAATGTACATATGTGTATATATTTTGGATCCCATTTTTCACAATATGGTTTTTTAAATAATAAGATGAAATTTGTTCGTACAAATGGGATTAATATTGGTTAAATGTTTCAACATTCCAACGAAACGGTGTCAATTTCGATGATTATTTTTTTCTTTTCTTTTTTTTTTTTTTTTTTTTGGAAGATGGAGAAAGAAATAGTTGGTTCTTTGTATCGCATGCTCTCTATTCCTAACCGAATTAATCTCTTTAGTACTTATCCCTACTATGCTACCTATTTACTTATTGATATGTACATACTAGTATATATTTAAAGGACGATAATGACGTCAAGAGAATGTAATATTTTATTGAACGTATTGAAACGCTTTTTTTGGTGCTGTCTACTCTACGATATTTTACTTTATATTATAGTCGACAAAAAGGATACAAAATGATGGACTTGTATATATACTTTAGGCATTTCATTGATCGAAACATCCTGACCATCTGTGATTTCTATGCATTTCAAATTTATCTATCATTTGAAATATCTTCTCATATGTGAATTTCTCATTATTTCCTTCTTCTTGGTTCGATTTCTCGAAATGTCATTTATATTTGTGCCAAATTTGTAGATTACAAAACCAATTTGCAATTGCAATGATTTTATCAAAGAAAAGTCGAACCAAAGAGAGTAGTAGTGGCGCAGCATCTTTCTCTTCTTTCATTTAACCTTTCCATCTCCTCCTTTTCTCATATAGTTATATAATGATGAATATGATCTGTATCTGTATGATATTCCGGCTAATCGTGCAGAAAATGTCGAGAACCAAAGGAAAAGAGGCAGACGTCTTTCTTAAGCGGAAATATTCGTCATTGAAACATTGTTCTCAGGTGTTACAATAAGACGTACTTCTTCCCGGCGCCCAAATACTCTGTCTGGTGTACAACGAATGGCACCCTGAATGGTTTTGCCGACATCAAGTTCGTCGTTGCTTGCTGCGACCACTCCGACTTCTGCAATCGCGAGCTATGGCCCTCTTTTCCTCCTCACGAACTCGAGCCTCGACAAGGTTCTCGAAACGACAACGACCTCGGAGGAGGTACAACGAGAATCGCCGTGCGTGCTTTCCTTTCCAAGGACGATGTCTCACCTCGCGAAACGTCTCCTCTTCTCTTTTACCTTTTATCCAAATTCTTTCTCCTAAAATCACACATTCTATCACAATCTAAGATTTACAAAGTACCTCTTCTACTGAGGTCGTACGAATAAATAGATTTATTTTACTAATAATTACAATAATTAATTATTAACAGTTTGAGTTACAGTAGAAGTTTGTCGTTTGAGAGAATATCTAAATTGCAAAGCCGATACTATTATCAAGTTTATGCTTTTTTCTTTTAAAACAACTCGATTAATATTATTTTTTGATAGTCGATTTTTCAATGCCAAAGTAATTTGCATTTACGCGATTTCTCAGAAGTCAGGAAAGGCTTGAAGAGAGATCAGGTTTCGTAAGACATAACATTTGGAAAGAGTACGCACGACGATGAGGGGAAAAAAAAGAAGAAAGAAAGAAAGAAAAAAGATTCGGGCTTTTTTACCTTCGACCTTGGGTGCTTATGTGAAAGATCGTTTTGGGCGTTCATTTGCATCGTTCCATATCTCGTTTGCTCGTTTCTCGTTCTCCTTCACATCTTGCTTTTACCTACAACTGACTCCACACATCATACCTACACACACACACACACAAACATGTATACTTGCGTTATATGTGTCACCGTGTCGGTTGACTAATACGCGAGCTCCTTCAGATTGTTTAAGAACATTTATCGACATTTTTTTTTTCTTTTTTTTTTTTTTTTTTTTTTTTCATAATAAGTTCAAATGGTATGGTCGTTCTCTGTTTGCTCTACGATATTCTTACTGTCTTTTTGTTAAATAACTTTTAAGATGAGAAAGAGAGAGAGAGAGAGAACAATTTCTGCGTTTATTGTTTTCACAAAAAATAAGAAATAAAATAATGCATATATTTGAAGAGTTTCGGAATGTTTCAACAGACCTGTGACTTTTGTATCGTTCACATCTGTTATTTACGACGAAAATATGTTGACGAGATAACGTAGTCGCTCATATGCGTTACAGTCGGATAAGATAACGATTAAATATTTTCATGGCTTCTTTTCTCTCTTTTCTTTTTTTTTTTTTATTTAAAGCGTAAATCTCTCTCTATCCTTCTCGCTTTCATTTTGTCTGCTATCTTGAACGTTACAATTAAAAGCAAAATACTTTGCAGTATCGATTTGAAGAAAATCATTTTTGTCCAATACTCCTGTTTACTATTTTATGACTGTTTGTTTGATATGGCTGTTTTTTCAGTTTATTAAATTAAATCAAATCGAATTAGAGAATATATATAGTAGTAGTAAAATACAAAAGGACAGTAATATGTTCATTACGAAAAGAGTATATCTTAAAAAGGATCTTCAATTTTGTTGTACTCCTTCTCCTGTTGTACTTTGTTAGGAAAAAGTAGATCCCACTCGTGGTTTTTCATTTCATAGAACAAATTTTATACGAATAAATGCTTTTTGACAATATTTCTTGTCTCATACTACTCATCATCAACCAGTTGGTTTTTCATTTGACCATTAATTTCAATGGGAATCATCATCGTATATCGTCTTACCGTGTACGTTGTATCAGAAGATCTATGTCTAATGATGGTATTGGGAAAGAAAACAAAGTCGATCGATTTGGTTGAGATTTTTTTTTCGCTCCAATTTAACTCTTACTGCGACGAGATTGTCAAGTTTTTTTTTCTCCTTGTGTCGTATTTCACTTAACACAATCCTTGTCGTAATTAACCTTTCAATTTTTTTCTTTTTTTATGGTGTAACATAATAATATTAACAGCATCCAAGTGTGTTAAGAGTCCACTAGGTCTTTGTGGAAAATTGTCAAGATTTAAGTAAGGTAAGTTTGAAGGTACAAAAGTCCAAAGTCGAAAGTCTTATATCGATCAATATGACGATCCTTATTCTTCGTCAAATTCATTGACGAGAAATCATTTGTACGAGAAGTAAGAAAAGGTATTCCTAGGAATGCACGAAATTCTTTTTTCTAGGTATCACAAAGGATTATTTATCAGGTAGGGAAGATAATCCCAACGAACCAAAAAAAGCAGCCTTTTCTACGGGAACATATAAGAACTAAATGATCCTTTATTTTCATTACTGACAATGATAAGCATGTTTGATTACAAGCAGATTTTGGGAAATTGATATAGCGCTTGCATTTTCAGCTTGCATTTTCAGCTTGCATTTTCAGCTTGCATTTTCAGCTTGCATCGATAGCTTTTCACGCAATATTTTCTTTTGTATTATTAGAGTGAATCAAAAGTTCGCCCGTTTATTCTGTTGTTTCAGATAGTGCAGATAGTGCAGTCAGATATTGAAGTGAATAATAAAATGAACTTTTGCTTCACTCTAATATTTATTCCCTTTCATCTTGCTTTCTTTTGTTTTTGATTGATGAAACGCTAATTTCGCTGAATTACCGTTGTGCCGTTCGAGAGTCAAATTTGTATCCGTCAGCGATGTTTAATAATAAATATATGATAATGGAAAGTCATTGTCGTCTTGTTAAAAGTGTCGTTGAATGGGGACGATGCGTCGTGGGTCACTTGGAAAACGACCTTGATGATAGCACTGCCTATAGGCTTAATCGTTCTTATCGTCATGATCATTTATCACGTATACGCGTCAAAGAGAAGTTCAGTGAGACATTTCCCAGATGATTCGATGGAGGCACCGGATCGGCCAATCCTTGGAGGTGTCACCATTAGGGATATGTTGGAAATGACCACTAGTGGCAGTGGTTCGGGTAGGTCGAAATAAATTAAATCAATAATGTTGTACATTTCGAAAAAAAAAACAAAAAAAAAAACAACCAAAACTTTCAATCGATAATTGTATGAAATAGATTAGAATATTTTGTCCAATGTTCCTTCTCTCCCAAGTAGGTCTGCCACTTCTGGTACAGCGGAGTATAGCGCGCCAGATTCAGCTCGTTGAGACGATCGGAAAAGGTCGTTTCGGTGAGGTCTGGCGTGGTCGTTGGAGAGGTGAAAATGTTGCCGTTAAAATCTTTAGCTCGCGAGAAGAAAGATCTTGGTTTCGAGAAGCAGAAATTTATCAGACGGTGATGTTGAGGCATGACAATATCCTTGGCTTCATCGCTGCCGATAATAAAGGTATTAACATTCGATCGACTGAAATAATTTATTGTTACGTTATTGTCTAATTGTAATTATTCGTATTTGCTTGTAGACAACGGTACGTGGACGCAATTGTGGTTGATCACGGATTACCACGAAAAAGGTTCGCTTTTCGATTACCTAAATAGATCAACTGTAGATACGAATGGTATGATTAGAATGGCCTTGTCGATCGCCACTGGTCTGGCGCATCTTCACATGGAAATTGTTGGTACGCAAGGTAAACCAGCTATCGCTCATAGAGATCTCAAATCGAAGAACATTCTCGTTAAGACGAATGGTACATGCGCGATTGGCGATCTTGGATTAGCTGTTAGACATGACGTAATCACGGATACCGTTGATATACAATTAAATAACAGGGTTGGAACTAAACGTTACATGGCACCTGAGGTAATAATCACGACACGTCACGTCACGTCACGTCACGTCTCTTTCTATGTATATACCACCATATGCAACGATATAGCTAGAAAATAATTTGCTGGATTTGTTTTCTTTTTGTAGGTCTTGGAAGAGACGATAAATATGAATCACTTTGATTCGTTCAAAAGAGCAGACGTCTATGCCCTCGGTTTGATCCTTTGGGAAATTGCAAGACGTTGTAACGTTGGTGGAATTCACGACGATTATCAACTGCCCTTTTATGATTTGGTGCCTTCCGATCCTACGATTGAAGAAATGCGTAAGGTTGTCTGTACGGACAGACAGAGGCCCTCCATACCAAATCGATGGCAGTCGATCGAGGTTAGTTGAGCACATTTTTAACTTCTTCATAATAATTAATAATAATTAGTAATCTTACGAATCTTTGACAAATTGTTTGAAGGCTCTGCAAGTGATGTCTAAAGTTATGAAGGAATGTTGGTACCAGAATGCCGCGGCAAGACTGACTGCGCTCAGAATTAAGAAGTCTTTGGCCAATTATGGCGCTATGGAGGATCTGAAATAGAGTGTTAAGAAGATCAGGAGGGACCATTCCAAAAGTGTCAGTGTTGTAATGCTTCGCAAATAATAGGAAAATGCGATCGTAAGTTAAATACAAAATTGTATTCCAGAAGAGTATAGAATGGATTATTCAAGTCCACACGATTTATAAGTTATTTTATTTATGTTTTTATCTTTGTTTTTCTTTCTTTTTTTCTTTTTTTCTTTTTTTTTGGTAAGCATGCCAAATTCAATCGATTATAGTTTTATTATATTATTTTTGACAACAAATTGGGGAACATTTCTTAATTAGAACACAACAACAAAGCTAAAGTCAATCGAAAAGCTTGAAAAATGCTTTTGGTTAATCAAAGTATAATCTACGTTACATTACTGCTGTATATTTATTATAATACTATTAAGATAAAGTACATAAATTTATCCTGTAGTAATGTTTATGGATTATAATTAAGCGATAATTATAAGTTTATATGTTAGTTCGTATGCGCGTGCGTAGGGAATTACTCGACGGGGCGATGTCGATTAACCACAAATGGTATTCCCAATATGAATAAAGATAATGCAGCGCGAGGCATCTAACTTCATTACTTCGAATAACTTTTTAATTGTACACGAAACAACAAATTTCTTCACAAATAATTGTTTATTGTTTAATGTACGATTTATCAACTATTCGAGTTATTCAAGTTACATGCCTTACATTGTATAATAAAACTGATTGACTTTTGTTTAATCGAATGTGTTCTATCCATGGAGATTATGGAACAAAACCAGAATATTTTGTTTATCGAACATGTTTTTATTTATTTCAAGATGTTCAAGATAGTGTTTCTATTTTTAAATACTTCCTTTATTATATATATATATATATATACTTAAAATGAAACTTATCGTCGATATTTGAACAAGTGCGAGCAGAAACCAAACTTCTCGAGAGCATGTACCGTTTACAACGTGTGTTACAAGAGAAATGCATATAATACGCAGACAAATTTGTTCTTGACGATGCAAGCGGCGGGGAAGAAATTGCTATTGACAAAAAGTAAACTAAACGTACATGCCATTTATATATTGATTATTTTTCACGAGTTTATGTAAACTTTTTCAAATTGATCTTTTCAAAGAAATACAAGCAAGAATTATGATTTTTCAAAATATATTTGTAATCTTTTCTTTATGCAAAATTGGGGAATAGGTAAGGGAGAAGATAAAACTCTTACATTGAAACAAAAATTTGCTTGATAAATGGTAGTTTCATAATGCGAAGAGCTTTTTATCGCTATTTCGTTGATATTGGAAGGCCTTTTATTTACGACCAGTTATATTTACTGATTGACTTAAATATATATACACATACGTATATACGCGTCCACGCGTGTAACGTTTTTAACGTAGATATAACGAAATATTTCTCTTAAGACGACGTACGCTTTGCAAGTTGATCATCGCGACATGCTACGGTATTTCCCGCGAGTGTGTCGAAACGTATTTCCTTTGTAACACAGGAAGGCTGAAATTTTGAAGGGTGCTAAGCTCAAGAGCGACTGTTAAGTAGTGTGAAAGGAGGAGAGCAAATGAGTTAATGGTAGCGAGAGTGGCTTTTGCGCGAGTATGAAAAAAACTAAGAAATGAAAAATTGCGAACGAGAGACGCTAATAATACAAATAAAAAAGAAAGGAAAGAGAGAGAGAGAGAGAGAGAGAGAGAGATAAAGAGAAAGATATACATTGGAGAATCTATATTTTCAGGAATTTTTTAATGGAATGTTACGGGAAGAGAGACAAAGAAAAAAAGAAGAAGGGAATGAGAAATGTCATCATTCTAATGAGCTACAACGTATGAATTATTGGCGACGTTGTAATCATTTTTTTACGAGCACAATTTTCTACTATTTTTCCAACGTTTTTCTTCAGTTTATCTTTTCTTCTTCCCCTCTTCTTCTTCTTCTTCTTCTTCTTCTTCTTCTTCTTCTTCTTCTTCTTCTTCTTCTTCTTTTCTTTCTCTTTCGCGTTGAGATTGACAGACAAGACGACGAGAGTGAGCGGTTGTTCGGTGTTTGTACGATATGTTGTGTATTTTGTACGACGAAAAGCAATCAATACGAAGAAAGGAGAGTTTATAAATTTGGCATAGATCGAATGTACGTATGATATGCACTAGCAAGCTTCATTAGTAATTATCTTATCCTCTGATAAACATTAATATTTTTGGTACAACAAAAGTTGTTCGCAAAGCGTAACATTATTACTTTGTCATATTACTTATTACTTATGTAAATTATTAACTTTGGTTATCGCGAAGATATCGAGATGTAGTAATATGTTCACCTAAAGTTTTCTTAATTTATGTCGATAATTTTGACGAGGAGTATTTATTAGCGTACAACGTTCAACGTTGAATCTCTATAATAAACTATGAAATAGTTGCTTCAAATGAAACGATAAATAATAACTTTTGAATGATTGTAATGAAATTGGAAAGTCGTTGCTCGTTGTTTCATTTTTTTTGGTAATAGTAGTCTGGCAAGGTGTTTAATATTCATTAGAGGATAAGATACTGAATAATAAAGCAGACGACGATAATTTTGTATTGGACGAATAAAGCGAGAACGATTGCAAATAAGGTAATAAAAGATTTCGTACGTAGTAGTGTGCTCGCACGTTAAGAATAATCGTCGAAGACGAAAGAAAGAAGGCGAGATAGAGATAAAGAGGGTTTAATAATCTTCGTCATCCAATAATCAACGTAAAAGTAAATATAATTATTGTAGCGAAAGCAAGAGTCCTTTTAAAAAACATAATCGTATTTTTATATTGTTTTTTTTTTTTTTTTTTTATCGATGACACCGCACTTGGTCGCTGCGTTCACTTCCTCTTCCGTTTTTTAAAAGCATCGGCTATTAAATGCTTCGGGGTTTACATTATTTATAAGTGACAAGTCCTAAGTTGAAGAAGAATTGTTTTTATAATAATATAATTATTCAAGATCGTGATAGAATAACGAAAGAAATAAATCATTTTTATTTTCCTAATCTCGGCAAAGTAACGAACATACATTTAATTGGCTTATATATGATGCTGTAAGAATGGATTTATTTAATTCAATTGCCGCAGATTGCGATAGAGATAAGACTGAGAAATATTAAAATAATAAATAGTACGGGCTGGATACATATCTTACAGGGTTTATGTGAACTTTTCTTAATAAACATAGCAAACAACGTAGATTATTGTTTAGAAAGAAGGTACGATGGACAGGACCATAAATTTCGATTGTTCTCGCATTGTGACAAGTTTCTTTTCTACTGATCAGAATTGAAACTGAGAATTATTTATATCCTGCTATACCGTACGATTTATTCCATTAATGACATAACAAATCGCATGTCCCAGAAGACTGTTTATAGACTTAAACCGATCGGTTATTCGATGATCATTATTTATGATCTTACCGAATCACATAGGGACCTAATGATGGACAGTCAATTTAAAGGTAATTAATGTCTCTTGATAGCTTTGATAATTATTATACTTATATCATTCTTGTATTTAAATCGTAACTAACAAATGGTTCGAAGTAAAACTCTGTTTGCTCACCTTTTATTGTACATTCCTATTACGAAGTAGGCTAATTTATAAAATATATAAACGAAAGGGCAAGTTGACGAATGCGCGTTGACGAATCTTTATAAGTATAAATTCATTAGCCGTTTCAATAAAGAACGTGGGCCTTTCATCGACGCGATATTTCCGCAGATATTTCCATACTGCTAGTACAACTCTGTGCCAATACCCAACCAAATGTTAACTAAAGCAGAAAAATTAGTAATGATAATATTAGTTGATGATCTTCGTAATTACATCCTCGCCACTTCCTTTATAATGAATACACACATACACACACGTATGATACATGCGCACAGGGACACGATACATTTACATACCATATACATATATAGCTAGATAAACTTAGTAAGATTGGCAAGAGTGAAGTTATACGAATATTTAAGGGATACTAAAGAAGAATTCACATTGATGAAACGTTGATACATCGTTTAGCCAGTATCGTTCGAAGCTCATTTCTTTGCCGAGAATAGGAAATCATTATTTTCCCAATTGAGTAAAGATGTATTTCTGAAGCGTCCAATCAATTTCACCAAAATCATGATATCCGACGATGCTAAACTGCCAAATAAGATTTCATCCTCTATCGTTCTTTCTTTCCATCTTAACGGTTTAAGTCGAAACTTGTACAAATGGAGAGTAACAATAAAACAAAGAAAAATATTGCATCATTGTGGCTGCATTTATGCCATTATCAATATCGTTGAAGGGGAGAAGTTGTATTTAAATATATATATATACATAGAGTCTAACTTATTTTAAACATTTGCCAGTTAATTCAAGGGGTATTGCGAAGCAATTATTAGATACAGGTAGAACCACGTATATTCAGGCGAAACAAATTTCTATGTCGCATTGTTTTCCCCTGGGAAAATAGATCAACAGAATCGTTAAGAAGCTAAATAAAAATACGACAAGTGATTCCAAATGTGTTAAAGCGAGCTCTTTTTATAGTGTTACGACTGTAAATAATAGACTTTGAAGTTTTCCAAATCATGGAGTACGATGTTCTGTGAATTATTGTGAGAGAAAGATAGAATTTTAAATAGGAATGATTTTAACGAACAACATGAGGAAAAAGTATTGCGATTTTTACACTTTCAAGTAGATTGATCAAATTTGTAGGAATGTTCACGATTTGGAAAAATATTACTGGGGTTATAAAGACAAGATAAAGTTAGCGATAAATAGTGATAATCAATGTGGCACAGCTTGGTTTGTACCTTTTCCTTTAGCAAAAACAATTGTTCAAAGGTATCATCGATCAACCTTTCTTTTATTCATTTTTTCTTTAATAATTATTATTCTATCTATAATTGATTGGAATATTATTAAGAATGCGAAAAAAAGTACAAGTTTATAAGAAAATGTAGAACGATAATTGATAAGAGATTTTTTAAATGAACAATTTGATATTTTATTTTCATTTATCAAGTGTACACGATATTTGGCCTACTGTTATTCTCAAAATATGCATAATATTCGTTATCTTCGAAAATATGTAACAATTGAAATTACATATATAAGATATTCTACAATCAACTTGCCTAATGATGGTTCAAACGTGATTTTTTATTCGTTTCTTTTCTTTTTCTTTTTCTTTTTCTTTTTTTCTTGCGAAGGAAAAAGCAAACGAACTTTTTCATTCTTCTGCCTTCATAATATATTACGTTTATTATATTCGAACGTAGCATAAAATTAATTTTAAGCGCGTTACTATATAATTGCGTCTAATCATACTTTCTACCACTTTGTTCAAAATGTTTCTTTCTTTTTTTATTTCTTTCCAATGTATAATAATCCTGTAAATAACGATGTAAATGTTATTCGATCAATTGCGCACCGATAGAACGACGAACCCTTGTAATTTTCGTAATGGATGGTTGGATCTACGAGTGATGTTGTTTTTTATTCCCTGTAAGAGATATGTATATGCAGTGTTTTTTTTTCTGCTGTAACCCACTCTCTGGCACCTTTTTTTTTATTTTTACAAATAAAACACTGCATATATGTATACATACAATGCAAACATACACTTACAGATACGAATAGATAGGTATAGGTCCGTAGCGATCACATGCCACGTTTGCATTATTATTATTATCATCATCATCATCATCATAGTCATCATCATTTTGTTGATAGATTTTACTCGAGGAAAAAGCATTAAGCGATTGATCTTACAAAAGTGTAAGTATTTTATAAAAAGACTGCTCCTCTGTGAGAACGACACAGAGACAATACAGTGAATAATTCATTACTTGGGTGAATGTGTAAGAACTATTGAATAACCCTTTTGTTACTAATCATGGCTAAACTTGACAAAGGTATAATTGATTTATTGATAATGCGATCGTTGATGTATCATTTTCAACAAAATTCATTCTTTTCTATAAAACAACTTTTCTATAAAGTAACTTAACAAGGTGTAATAAGAAATGTCGAAATACCGAAGACCGCTGTTCGTTTGCGAAATGTACTTGCAGGCCTGCTGTCGTAGCGAAAGGGTTCATTCGAGTCTACTCATTATACACATATACATGCACATACACACAAAGATAAAAAATGACTAAGGAAGAATTTTGTTGTCTTTAACGTGGTGCGCCGTATACGATTGGTAAGAATTCTTAAGTAACTTTGGGACGTTCGGTAAAACTATCTTCATCATATCAGGATTACGATCACTCGCATAGAATTGTGTGATGTATTCAAAGTACTACAAATAATTTCTTGTTGTACGGAACGTGGCTGGTGTAACGTGGATGAGTCTTGTGGTACTGTTAACAAAAAATAATATATGATATACACAACCCGATAACGCTGATTGTTTATCACTATTATCGATTTGTAATTCGCAATGATGCGATGTAATCCTTTAACAACGTTTAACGTTTTCGATTTTTACAAATTTTACTATTTTTTTCACGAGCATATTACACTATCTATATTTTAATAAGTCGTAATCTTGTTTAAATGAATAAAAAGGAAAAAAAAAAAAAAAAGAAAACGTGAATGATTAATATTAAAAAGATCTCGTAAACGTTGAACGTCTCAACAGACTATATAAGATAAATAAAAAAAGAGGGTTGCCACTGAGGTCTGTGGAAAATACCTAATTGGCTTGAATAAATGGAATTTACTTTTAACAGCTTATTGATTGATGCAATCTCTTTTTATGATATATCCTTACAGCATGTAAAACAGGATACGCTAGGAGAGAAAAGAGAGGACTCAACGAACTTTTGTACTTACGACTTTGAATTTATTTATTAAATTAATATTGACACAGGTTATTGTGTATGTCGTATAGCGAGATTTGTGTGTACGGACAATAATACCTATATGTGTAATAATAGCATAGAATTAACGTTATCCATTTAAATACATGTGCGATAATCGCGAATAGCGCGGCACGATGCGCACCTCGATCGTGTCTCGCTTTCTCACTCTCTCTTATGTTTATTTTCATTACGCGATTAATAATAGCCACATCATTGATAGGATAAGAATAATAATAATTAATGCCGTTTATTTATCCTCAATTTTTCTTTACAACGTTTTATTTGTGTACCTGCAGAATAAGCTATTTTATTTTGCTTTAAATCTATTTGTTCTCATATTTTGATCATTTGCTTTGCTTCGATTAAAGTGTCCAGTATTTCTTCTTTTTTCTTTTTTTTTCATTCTTTTCGTTCACGAGAGGAAGTGGAAATTTCGTTGGATTAAATATATATATATATATATAATGTACATATAATATATACATAATATAAATATATATATATATATATATATTATATGTAGGTTGAATTTACGACGGGTCGTTCCTTTATAATTAATAGGCAACGCGTACTTTCGTGTACGATGGCTTTTTAATGATACAACCACTTTGGAGAAGTACCCGTTGAAAACTCATTCGGTCCTCCCGTCTTTTGATTGTTCGTCCTGCTGCTTTTGCCGTTGTTGCTTCTGCTACTGTTTTATCGTCGTAGGATTAGAATGATGACTCTGAAAAAACCCCTTAGGTTACCCTAAAAATCCATTAAGTTAAGTTAGGAGAGGAAGATACTACGTACGTTTAAAAGGAGGACGACGTGGCGTTCGAAATGATAATAAGGGTGGCGGTGATCTTTGTAAGAAAGTTATTACAGCTCCTGCCTCGTCTCCTGGACAAGGTAGACCTGGGAACCGGGTACGGTCGAGGTGGTAACGAAGCTGCGGTGTTTGGCACGAATCAAAGTCAAATTGCTTTCAGCGGTATCGGCACGATCCTCGGCTGCTTCAAGTTCTCTTTGGAATCGGCGGACCCTGGTCACGCTTTGCTGGGACATGCCCTCTTGCTCTTGGAGTTGTCTCTTATAGATGCACACTTTTTGATTCGCCTTGTCCAAGGATTCTTGCAACAAAGCAATGTTCTTCGAATCTTCTTCCACTTGGATCATCACTTCTTTGATATTTCGTTCCTTCTTTCGCAAAATCTTCACAGTTTCCGAGTGTCTACGTTTCTCTTCGTCCAATTCGAGTTCCAGATCGCGAATCTACATCATACCATTTGTTCGATTAGTGCAAATGGAAAAACCTTGATTTATTTAACATACTAAATGACTTACCCTTGCTTCAAGCTTGCTGATTATACGTTTTCCACCAACGATCGCGTTAGCCTCGACTTCCTCCAATCTTACCGACAAATTCTTCACTTCAATTTCAAGCGACTTCTTGATTGCCTCGATCTTCACAATACGTTCTTGTTCCTCGTGAAGAATTTCTACGGTATGCTTCAACTCGTTCTGCACACGTTGATATCTTTCGTCGCTGACTCGCAACTCCTTGGTAACTTCTTCGTAATCGCCAGCCAAGGTTGTTAATTCTTGCTCGAGTTTAGCCTTGGACGAAGCTATGTTCACGTTGATAGTTGTCAATTCGTTAATACGGCTAACCGACTCTTCGTATTGCTGCTCGACGGTTCTCTTTGCGCGGAGGGCCTATCAATGTAATGTTAATCATCGATTATGAAGGATAATAATACCATCTTCTGTTGTAAAAAATAGTACTTACGGATTCGTAATTGCCGCGAACTTCCTCGAGCTCGGCCGTCAACGACTGGAGACGTCTCTGGCTGATGCCCAACTGATCCAAGGTTACTTGCAATTGACGCTGAACTTCGTCGTAATGGGCTTGGAGTTCCTGAGGGATAATAAATGGATGAATCGCTAAAAAAGTTTCCCTACGAAGTTGAGGCTTTTACCGATATTACCGAAAATACTTACGGTAAGGGTTAGAGACTGCTTCTTTATTGTCTTTTGCAAATCGATGTTGTTTTTGTTGGCAACGTCGAGAGAAAGTTCCAGCTCGGTAATATGAATCTGAAGCTTCTTCTTTACTCGCTGTACCTCGGTCTTCAGCTTCGTTTCCGCTTCAACGACGCGAGCATTCAATTGCTCGATTTCAATGCTGGTCTGTTTGCTAAGTTAATGTCATAGATCATGATAATATATCGAATAATATTGATCTTAAGCGAAAAATTTGCAAAGCATAAAGCAGAAAGCAAAAAAGCAAAAGGCAAAAGGCAAAAGGCAAAAGGCAAAAGGCAAAAGGCAAAAGGCAAAAGGCAAAAACGTGACTGATTGTTTTGGGAATAAAATTGATTTCATGGGAAGCTAGGAGGAGGAGTAAGGTTGTTAAAATAATCGAAAGGAATTGTGAATAAATTGAAAAGCAATAATAGATTAATCGATCGAGGCTATATCGAAGTTTTATAGTTTATTCAAGTTTACCCTTGTATGAACATTTAGGTATTTTTAACACACAAGTGCTGTCGTTTAGCGGTTCGTGTACCAGAAACGATTAAAATATTTATAATCCAATATGGGATCACGTTCGCGATAGGCAAATTCTTGTCGAATCCGCTTCCGAGTGTCTCGATACCTCTTGTCCAGGAAATAATTGCTCGATTTCTTCTCGTATCCTCGTAGTTCCTCGCTAAGAATATCGAGAGGTTCCGTCAGTTTACTCTCGTCGAAAATCAATTTGGCCCTTTTCTCTATCAGTTTGTTGCGATCTATTTCTTCGGCGGAAGAACAACAACCACCCATTTCTATTTGATATTTTCGAATGTCAGCGAGTTCACGACTCTTGCTAAGATTTTTCAGAGCCTCGGCTCTGAGTTGAAATTCGATAGCTCTCGCAGATTTGCCACGATAACTCTTGCCGCGATCCATAGCGTCTTGGACTTCTTTCAACATTTGAATATCCTTTAGAGCTTGCATCTTAAGATCAGCTAAAGCTTTCAGTTCCGCGTCTCTCGATACCGTCGTCGTTTTCGCACGTTCGCCCAGCCAAAATGGAGAAGCTCGGTTGAGGATGTTCTGCGTCACTCGACTGGCGTGTATAGTCTTTGCCAGGCTAAAGTCCGTTCGTTTTGCTATCTTCAAACGTGAAAAGGAAGTCTTGTTAATCTTTACACGATTTTATTTCGTCTAATTTCTCGCTCGCAAGACAGTTTATCTTTGCTCAAAGGAGCCTAACCAGAACCACCAGTTACTTTTCTTTTTCTCTCTCTCTCTCTCTCTCTCTCTCTCTCTCTCTAAACTTAGAAATGTTCTAGACCGAAAGTTTCGAGTTGCTCGACTACCGTACCACGACTGACTCTCTCTCTCTCTACGTTCGATCGTCTGGGTGACGCGAGATGGATTTTTGTCCATCGCTCGAGCGACTTGGCAAACGCCAAGAGCCGGGAGACGAAGATGAAGAGAAACGCTCCAAATAATAGACTGCCAACAAAACGTTTGACGTGCTATCGCGATATTTTTATTGCTAGTCGTCCTTGTTACCGTGGAGCTACAGGGTTAAGGGTTATAGTAAAACAATTTTTTCATCGGAAGGAAAAGAGACAAAAGAGAGATGAGAAAGAGAAAGATGTTACGAGCTAGGCATTCATCTTCCTTTTCGTTTTGGTTTTTGATCTTAGCTACTTGCCCGCTCAAGACAATCACTTCCGCTGTACCAAATTTAGCAAGCGAAAAGGTCAAGTGGCTCGCCCGATCTGTGTTTTCTTTAGCGAGGAAAACGCACTTCCTAACGTTATTTATATGCTTGCTTCTTTCAACTTTATCTGAAATTAAAAAGACCCCTATTTTCTTTTTTCTTATTTATTTTCAAGTCATACCTTAAAGCGAGATAGATGATCTCTCGCTTGATCCTCGGCGTCGATCGCTCGTTTTATCAAAGATTCCTTGTCATAGGTTTGTAATTTTTGATCCTCCCACAAAAATCTACCATCGGACCAAGGTAGGTCAGGAAGTTGAACTCTCCTTCCATTGCCTTCCAATCGACCTAACGCCGATCTCGATCTTTCTTTCTTTCGATCGATATAATCCAACATTGGTTGATAATAATTCATACCGTATCCATAATTCTTATCGTAGACGTAGGTCGGCCAGTGATGCCATCTTGGTTCAAGTGGCATTTGATTAGGCGGCATGTAACCCGCCATTTTGTCTATTCGTCTTTTCTTTGTAGCTTCCAAACACCTATGACTACCGATCTCGTTCTAAGTTTCCTTATGCTCGAGATCCTTTTTAATACGATCCGAAAGTATGACTAATACTAGCGAGCATTTTCGTCGAGTTCTCTAATGATAATTAGGCCGAAGCTATGACGGCATCTTTTGCAAAATTTTCTTTTGTAATAGCCACATTGAGAACAAGCAATCGTCACCTGTTAATAACGCGATTGGATCGCGACTAGTTTTATTATTAGGCCGCCGAGTCTACGTAGGCGTCAATCGACGCCTTGTCATTAATTAGCGTTATGTTCTCATTAGCTTCTCATTATCTTTGTATTTTTCGTTAAAATCATTTAACTTCTTAATCGTTGGAATTAAAAGAGGTCTTAATTACTAAGCGCCATCCTATTGTAATAAATGTTGATTGTAGGAGCCAATAAGAGGGATCGATTGTTCGATAGCGGGTAGATTTTCGCGGTCGCCGACACTTTGTACTTTGTTTCATACAAATAGATCATCGAGTATAAATAGTAATTGGGTCGATATAGTAGTGTCGGATAAATCGATCTTCAATTTGATCGTATTTTATAAATAACAGGATGCGATATGTACGATTAATTAATAGCATATGCATTGTTGTTTACTAATTGTCTATGCATGCGTACTATGAGTTAATCAAAATGTAGTGGCGCGTATTTCACATATTTACGAACTTGAGTCGCGTGATCATTTATTAAATCGTCGAATATACTCTCCTTCCTATATAGATATATAATTCATGGCAAGTAAAAAGGTAATGAACATTGATCGGTTTCATTCACGTGCGAATAAATTACTCAATATAATTTCATTTTACGCAGTTATAGGAAGTCCTTTCGGATGGAAAAATACATTTTCTAGAGTTTTGTTAAAAAGAAACTTATAGAAAAAATATGAACACACGAAAAGGCTTATAAAATTTAATGTTAATAGCAAAGATTGAACTCTCATTAGATAAGAACATTTTTCAAAGTAACTACTTACCGAATAATTTCGATTTCTTCGTCCTTCTCAGCAATACGACGCTCATATTCGTGACGGAGTTGGCTCAACTCGGCTGATAGTCTTTGCGAACGTTGTTCTTCGATCTTGCGACCCTGAAATCAAAATCCAATTTGGAGATAGTGCATGGAAGTTAAATGGAAGAGAGACGAGATTAAAGCTACTAACTGCTTCAGCTTCCTTATAAGCAGCAGCAAGTTCTTCGCGTTCATTTTCTAAACGACGAAGTTCCAATTCCAATTCATGCAGTCTACGGTTCATGTCAGCTAACTGATTCTTGGCATCGCCGAGATCATCTATAAAACAAATTCATTGATGCACACGTTGAAAACACACGATAGAAAATCTTGGCTTATATTGTTTATCGTTTGAACTTATTTATTAACTTACCACCCAGTTTCTTGTTTTCGCGAATCAGTTGCTCCTTGATCTCGCGGGTCTTGTCGAGTTCAGCATTGGTACGTTGTAATTCCTGTTGCTTGTTACGGAAATCGCGTTGACTCTGCTCGTACATAGCCACAGTTTCATCGAGACGTGATTTCAATTCGATCTGTATCTTTTCCAAATGTTCGACACGTTTTTGCAATTCCCGAGCAGTTCCATTGGCCTGAAATCAAATATTATTATAGTTTAATTGAATTCATTCCAAAATCCAATATATGATTCTTACCTTTTCGAGATCGATGATGAGAACTTCTACTTCGGATTGAAGGCGAGATTTTTGTTTCTCAAGATTGTTAATTTTCACGAGTAGAGTTTCGATCTGTTCTTCCTGTTCTTGAATACGAGCAGCATACTTGCGACGTAATTCTTCAACCTAGGAGTAACGAATAGGAGAAACGATCATTAAAATGAAAAATATCGAGAAAAAAAAATCATTGAATCAATCAAATATTGCACCTCTTCTGCTCGAGCACTAGCTTCAGTCTCGTATTTCGATCTCCATACAGAGACTTCGCCATTAGATTTGACCAATTGACGTTCAATGTCCAATCGTGCTTCAGATTCTTCTTCCAATTGAACTCGAACAGATTCCAACTCCACCTCGACCTGTTCAATTTATGCTTTTATGTTTTTTTCTAATTGTAAGAGAAAAATTGTCGATATTAATTAATAATATAAATTAATAATAGACCTGGTGTAAAGATGCTTCGACCAATGAACGACGGCGTTCTTCATCTTCGAGACGGCGACGAGAGTCCTCGAGTTGTCCAACGATTTGGGTCTTTAGATAAGTCACGTTTTCGATGTTTACCTAAAAAGAAAATTCAGTAAGAAGTTTAGGGAAATAGACGTAAAGTCAGTGATTCTATCTTACTTTTAAATCCTGCACTTCCTTCGTCAATTCGATGTTCTCCTGTGAAAGGCGAGTCTTATGACTAGTGATGTCAACGATTGTACGATTCAGTTCCTCGATTTTCACGTTCAACTCCGATATATGAACTTCGAGTTTCTCCACTGTCTTGAAAGACATCAACTTCTCTTTCGTGACATTATCCAGCTGGGCAAGTAATTCGTATACTTCCTGCTGGAATTTCGACTTTTCCTTGTCAGCCCTGCAATATTTAGGCGATAAGTCGATCGATCGCAAAGCAATATCGAAAAAAAAGGAAATAACCTTCTATTCGTTCATGGTTTCAATGAAAAAATTGTCCAAAAATATAACACGACTGGATGGATGAGTACAGTAAGAGTAGGGGGAGAGAGTAGTGAATGGGCTGAAGGTGAAGCATAAGGCAAAGTGTGGACGCCATGACATCGGTGACACTTGGCACTCTTTTCAAATGGAAATCTCGAGAATATTATCTCGTTTCTTCTTGTAAAGCACATAATAGAGGGTGTAAGGTGTCGTTTTCTCGATTCCCAGTATAGTGGGGATTCGAGCTAGTCGCGTGTACTAATATGGCGCGGCAATGTGGGCTTGAGTATTACCGCGCGCGACTCGCACGGGTAAAAATAGTCATCATAAGCCGTGTGTGTACGTCGTGTGTGTACGCCGTGTGTGTATGCCGTGTGTGTATGCCGTGTGCGAGGCAAAAAGGGAAAGAGTAAGAGAGTGTTGAGAGAGTGCTGAGAGAGTGCTGAGAGAGTGCTGAGAGAGACACAAAGTGGCGCTATTTTAACAAGGTCCATCGCGTTAATGTCTCTTTCGCTAACAGGTGGAACGACGACACCATTTCCTGCTTTTATTTTTCTTCACAAGTACTTTTAATAATAGTCCTATTTCTTCAATTATATTTTGTCAAAGAACTAGACCGTTTCCTACGTAACGATGACAAGTTTTTCGTAAATACTCGTCGTCATCATCGTTGCGTTTAGTTTGAGAAAAAGCTGAGTCGACTCGGACGCTTCTCGAGTATTACGAGGCAAGGTAACTATGTTTAGAATTGCCGAGGTAGCGAGTCTTCGTGTATTTCAGGTGCGAGTAACTCTGCAGCTTGGACTAGGGCCAATATCGCAAGCATAATCCGTGCAAATTTTCAAACGTATGCATACGTATACATACATCTATGTACTTTCGGCCGCGCGGAGATAAGCTATAAATAGATTATGAATATCCTGATTCAGTAACAGACAGAGATATTATGATTCTTTCTCCCCCCTCTCTCTCCCTCTCTCTTTATTTCTCACCTTTTCATATTTTTATATCCAATTGTATTTATCCTAAGAAGAATTCCACTAACCTGGCGCGTGCTTTCGAAAGTTGATCGATTTGATCCTGGAAGTCAACGACAACCTCTTGATGTTTCTTTCGCAAAAGATGAGCAGTTTCTTCGCTCTCAAGATGAACATCCTCCAAAAGTTTGCGTAACTTGGCTAGTTCCGTGTCCCTTTTCTTGTTGATTTCAAACTACGACGAGAGTACCAAGTGATGATACATCATAGACTATCTTCCACCTTCCTTCGAATTCATACCAAAAATAAGAGGATAAAAAACTTACCTGGGATTCGGCACCACCCTCGGCCTCTTCGAGACGTTCGGATAACTGGATGACTTGCACGCTTAAATCAGCGCGTTCGCGTTCGATCTGTGCAAACAAAATCAATCATTCTTATGTTAATAATTAAGATACATCCATAATCAACAGAGATTGTTGTTATGGAAAAGGAAATCAAGTTGATCGTAACTTTGCGTGGTTTGATTATTCCTGTGCAAGCTTGACGTCAGGTTTCTACTCACCGTGAATAGAACGATCTAATTTCGGACAGAGTCATTCTATATTGGGAACTTTATTCATGTTACAAATGAGGCGTTTATCGTTACTGGAGAATCATGCGATACGTTGTTTTTTTTATACATGAAAAAAAGATGCAAATATTTCAATTACGACAATATATTTTGTCGAGGAAAAATACTTGGCAGTAGTACGAGTCAATAATTAACTCGACATCTAAAGAAATAGTTTATTCCGGTGATTATTTTAGGATGATTTCAGGTTATTAAATAAAGAAAGGTTCATTTGAAAGGTTTATTTTGAGAGGCTCGTTCAGAAAGTTGGAATTTTTGGAATCGTATTATTATCCACGATCGTTATTTTTAAGATCGCACCAACCAACGAAAGTTATTCTTCGCGCAAAGCGGCAGATCCGCGTCGGCAACATACTTCGAAGGAATGTCGGAACGTTTCGAGAGCCGCGCATCCCCAAAAATAGATCGGACTCTAGAGCTGGACATTTCGACATCCTGTAGCTCCCTCAGCTCCCCTGCCCCCTGCCCCCTGCCCCCTCATTATAGTTTTCAGACCGATGGACCGTGGTCTTAGATTTTTCTCTATCTCGCTCAAAAAAAAAAAAAAAAAAAATGTATCTTTTTCTCGTAAGAAAAATTCGTAAGAAAAATTCTTGTTCCTTTTTTTTATTCCTTTTCCATGAGACTTACCCTCTGACGCAGCTCTCTCTCGGACTCCAAATCATCCTGCAGTAGACGAATTTTGTCCTGAAATGAGAAAGAACGAAGTCCTGTAATGAGGGTTGAATCTTCTTTTTACTCGTTTATTTATTCGCTTTACGTAACGAGAGAAAATCGCGAATAGTATACTTAGAGATTTTGAAAGGTATTTTAATTCTATCGGGATCGAGTTGGAATGAAATAGTTAGATTGCCGGCGAACGTAAATACGTACAACTATTTCGATAGGTTAGCGTTCGAATAGCTCGAGTTAAACACTTTCTATTGGCACTAAGATGGTCCTTATGGTCACTGAACTTGCGCGCATCACTGCCATTCCATTCGGATCACTCCTCACTTTGCTTACTCGACGAAGACACTATCTCCTATCTCCCTTGTCGACATATATCTTTGAATTTCGTGTCAGGGCAGATTATGGCACGAAGAGATTGATTGGTCTAAGAATATCTAATAGAATGTTTTGACAGGTGATAGGACGGGAATGAACCTACCTCGAGTCTGGAGAGAGCGCTCAGGTCGGCGCTGTATTCGATGCTGACATCGGCAGAACCTGCACCGCCGGTTGAACGGTACGTGTATTTAGAAGTTTTCGCGACGGCCGAAGACATTATCGATCTCTTCTACTGTAATCCTTTGATTTTGGACCGATGGACACAAAATGATAGATATATATTAGATCGCTCTCTGACTTAATACTAATAACTTAGTCTTTTGCACGTCCGTTCGCTTCCTGTTCGGCGTTTCGGAGCCGACCAGCGCCCTACTCGTAGTGCGCGACCCGTCGTCGTTCGTATGGCGCGCCGGCCGCCCCATGGCTTCCTCAAAATTCGACGCTCAACGCAGGCGCACTAGATCTTCTCTCCCTCTATACATTTTTCCTCCTTCTTATCCGCATCTTTCGAGTCGAGTCACCACCAACGAGAATAACAATCCTCTTATTCTCTTATCGAGCCGCCCACGCCATGTACCACAGATTTTACCGATGCTTTTTCTTTTTATTTTTTATTTTTTATTTTTTATCTAACGACAAGTATGTCCCAACTCCTGCTTGCTTATTCAATTCATTTCAAAAATGTATATTTCATCATTCCATGTTTTACTTTTTTTTTTTTTAAATGATCCCAAATTGATCGACCAAGTATTCTCATTTCTAATAGAATAATTTACAATTTTTTAATCGATATATATATATATGTGTTGTCATCGGTATTTTGCTAGAATTATCGAATGATAAAGTCATCGAATAGTATTTGATTATGAAGAAAGGAGGGGAGAGGGATGAATTTATTCGTCTTTCATTTGAAAAGAAGTAAATATCTTGGCGATCTTCTTTCTCCGGTGTTCCAACAGATTTTCACACAATTTCCTTGAGTCTCCCACCTCAAGCCAAGAGCGTTGAGTGTCTATAAAAGGTCGCCGAGCGATGGTGGGCAAAGACGTTCGGTCGGCCTAGCCGGGAGCTCCACGAGTAATTTGAGATTTGGCCCCTTCTCTTTGCTACTTCATCCCTACTTTGTCAAGGAAGAGATGTGGCTCACCCTGGTGGAGAATTCCAGTTGCAAGAGAGATCATCTTTTTCGTACTTCTCATCGGATCTGTAGACCAGAATAAACATCAACCTCCTTCTCTCTCTCTCTCTCTCTCTCTCTCTCATTTTTTTTTCTACTAATTGCCGCATCTGCGTTTTCGATTAGAATCTTCTAATTAAACTGTCTTTTTTTCTAGCCTATCTACTTTTTTTTTTTTTTATCCTTTTCTCTCTTTGGAACAATTAATTATTTATCTACGTATAGGAGCAGTATTGAAAGCAAGGCTTACGCTTATTTATTTAAAAATACGTACAAGAAACTAGATACTCTTTCTATTTGATAGCGTTCCTGTTTTTCTCAATTCGGTTAAACGGTAAGTATCCATGGATGCTTCCGGAGCGTCGTGAAAGCGCACTGCCCTAATTTCCTATAAATATCTCCACTACTCCTGTGTTCGGCTGCAATTCTCATGCGCTGTATCGAAAGATCTTGACTTCTTGACCATCTGTTTAGTGTTTATAAACATGGCCTCTCTCTCACCGATTGACATGTAAACTTGACCCCGCTCACCCTACACCATTCTCCTCTCTATCATGTCCACCATATAAGTCCCTTCAAATTTCATCGTTAAATGTTAACATTTATCCTAATTTCTTGTAACACTATAGCTTTATCGATCATTGAGACAGTTTGATCGAGCATAGAATGTAGCAGGTGGTAGCTCTTAGTTAGTTCTCTCTCATAGATCTTTTATTAACGAGGAAACAGCTGAATTCAAAGCTCTGGATTAAAAGGAACACATTGAGGATATTTAGAGAATACGAATATGTACGCGTGTGGTGCTCTGTACGATCTTGCGTCCTTTCGATCCAGATCGAATAGAATTCAGGTCATCGTAACTGGATGAACACATCCATATCAAATTTCTCCGAAATCCATAAACTCGCATTTCGAATACGATTAATCTAAGGATTAAGTTGTATCCAAAGAAACAATATGAAATAATTATAATATTTATTATATTATCGTTAAATTTCGATTGCAAACAATTTGAGAATTTGTAAAAGATGGACGATAAACGTTCGATTTAAAGCACGATCTCGCAAAGAAGAGCCGTTGACTCAGCGTCCAAAATCGTCGGGAAAAACGTCGAGCATAACTTTTCGGCATTGCGAGCAAAATCTCAAGATGACTAAGTTGTTCTATTCTTATCTTAACAGTGTATCCTTTGTATCTATTGGGAAAGTAGAGTAAGCTCGAAAGTTTTTATTTCGAACATGAGTTGTTCGTTTTATAAATGAGGATTTAATATGATGCATGTGTAAACAAGTACGCGTTAGAAATGACGATGCATCTATATTTCAATAATAATGAGTAACGAATAATTGAATCATTTTATTGCTCTGCATTTTATTAGTACATATTAATCAAATTCTAAGCTCATAGTTTATATATAAATTTACTTAAATATTTATTGCATAGATCATTGAATGCGCAATTCGTCTTGATAGATGTTAATTAGCGTCATCGTAGCTGCAAACTTCTCGCCAATTCGCGATACTATTTATTTGGCACAATAATTGAAAGCTTTCGAGACATTTAACTAGACAATGAAAGATTTGCGAGTTTTCAATTTCAATCAAGAGAATCCAAATTTGGATTGAATTTCAGGGGTGTGGATCTTTCATAAGTTATCGGAAATTTGTGGATCATGACACTGGTGCCATCTTCTTCGGAAAGAATATACTGGCATCGTAAGAAGATATTTAACTTCGATCGGTACGTACACCCTGAGAGCACAACTTTCTCAAGCAGAAGGTAACTTGAATCGCGTTTATCGCGCGAATTTGAAAGTTTCACCGAAGTTGGCAGCACGGTTTCTCGCCGAGGAAAAAAAAAACCAAAGTGTTCAAATTTAAAATAGAAAAGTACCATCCAATTTCAGCGAAGAAGGAAGAAAGGAAAAACTTTCTAATCAAATTTCATATGCAACGTTTCGAGTTTCTCAAGTTGAACAATTTTAATTCTTCTTCATGTTCTTTTACAGATCTTATGTTAGAAAAAAAAAAAAAAAGAAACAAATACGAAACGAATGCTAGGATAATCTAAAGTTTTCGAGAGAGTCGAGTTCTTTCTCTGTCAAGATTAGAGATCACTTATAGTTAGTTTTTTTTGAGCTCGCTAAATTTCTTCGAAAAAATCACCGGTTACTGTTCGTTGCTACAGAGGTAGCAATTCTCTACTACTATATTTTTTTCTTTCATTTAAAACAAGATTATGCTGATGATTTTTGTAAGAAGGAAGGAGGATAACTGACCCTGTTTCACGTAAAATCATGAACAATGTTACAAAGAGACAAAAAGGGATTGTCCTAGTAAATAACGAGTGAAAGCTTTTGAATTTTTGCTATCGGATAAGTTCATGAAGAGTTGGAAGTTTGACTCGAAGAAACGAGAAGGGAGAAAATACAAGAAGCTATTCTTAAAATAGGGCTCGAGTCGGGAAGGTGGGGAAGCGGAGGGAAGAGGAGGAAAGACGACGTGCTTCGCGGGTCGGCGGTCCTTCGGGGTCCGAACTTTATCCGAAACGAAGCGCCGCTACAAAGCGCCGCTACGAAGGCGCGCTTCTTCTTCTTCATTCTCATCGGAGCCTCATTTACGAATCGTTTCAACTTTGATCGGTCGATTCGTTTTACGTCGTATCGAGGCTCCGATTATTTCTAATCCTTCCTTCCTTCCTTCCTTCCTTTCTTTCTTTCTTTCTTTCTTTTTCTTTTTCTTTTTCTCAAATCACTCGTACAAAAGCTTAAGAAAGTTCGCGCCGGTAATAGTGTCTTACTGATTGTGATAGTTATTTTGATGGTGGTTGTAGCGGTTTTGCTAGTGCTGCTGGTGGTGTTGCTGGTGTAGATGAGGTTAATACTAGTGACGTATTCTATGCTTGTGAAACCACTTGTGCTTGTTGTATACTATACCACAAATAACGAATCTACTACGAAGAGAATTTTCACTTTTTCTCGCTTTCAAAGAGGATCATGGCGTCTTATAGAACCTATGTAAGTTCCTTCAGTTATAGGACAGGATACTCTCGTTAGTTTGTCTCAATACATACATACAAGTATAAAGTGATTCGTATAAATATTCTGGTAATATCGTCGCGAGTTATTTGTTTGATTTAAAAAAGGAAGCTAGGAGTGTTCCACGAAATTGTGTACTCATAGATAGACACGATGATGAAAAGATTAAAGTATGGTTGATTGGTTGACTGGCTGACTGAATGGATAACCGAGTGACTGATTCGTCGCCAAGGGGTAACGAGATGCAAATATTTATCGAAGGATATGAAACGTCGCAGAAGTTTGGCGTGGAAATGTTGGGTGTGCCTTGGATACGAGGGAAGAGAAAGAGAGAGGGAGGGAGAGAGAGGGAGAGATTTGTGAACTAGAAGTCGACGCGTTGGCGATGGCGTAGCTAGCAAAATTAGCCGGGTCTTTCCCATACGACGCCTGCCTGCCTGCCTGCCTGCCTGCTTGCCATGCGCACGTGTACACGTGTTTGTCTTTCTTTGTGTAGATAGCATGTATATGCTTGTGTAAGACTTTCTTCCGGTGCACAGTGCTATACTTGAAATATAGGCGGTCTTGCGATCGGCTCTGAAACCAATGGCTCGAGTAGAAGGTGTCGAATGTCAAAGCTCCATTCGGAGGAGATACGGATTGCCAGAGACAGATGGGTGTATACGTAATACCACGATCGTATAAACTCGATTTAGATGTGCAATTGCCAGATCATGTTTTCTATTTTCTCCTTTATCTTTATCTTTTTCTTTTATTTCAATTAAAGTCATCAAGACAATAGTTCTTTTTTTCTTCTCTAATAATTGTTATTTCTAATTGAAAGCGTAAATTACACGAAAGAGCAAACTCGTCATGGTTAGTTAGGGTAGAGTCATTAAGATGAAAGATATAAATAAAACGACTGTAAAACGAGAAAGAGAAAATCTATTTGATAATAATGTTCCACAGAAGCTTACTTACTATGCGTCGATATAAAAAATTCAAACAAATTGAATACGATTAAACGCTGGAGTAGAAGTACCGAGGTTATACGAACGATAAGAGAAAGAAAGAGTCGAGAGAAAGAAGATTTAACGGCTCTTTTAAATATTTCACGCGGCAAATCTTCCAAATGGTAGAATGTTGCGTGGATCGCTTTAATTAAGGATCCTTTGCATTTTCATCATTCTCTCGACTCTTTCTTTATCTTTCTCAGGCTTAATG